GAAAAACAACAAAAAACAGTTAGAGTATAAACAAAACTTAATCTGAGCAAGTTCAGGCAGAGTAAAGAGTGCTGCAGGTATGATATATTTTTCTAGGCCAATCCAGAAGTTAATATCACCCTTGTTCCCTCTATAAAAAGCCAATAGGATTTTTCCATTGCAATAAATACGTTTTGTGACAAACAAAAGTTTATGATTCTTTAACGTTAAATGAATCGTAGGGCCTTAATACAATCGCCAGAAGTAAAAAGATAGGCAATAAACTACACCACATGACTTTAACGTCATCACCACTAAGCTTCCAACAACTCTTTATTTAAAATTTACAAGTTGGAAAGCTCAAGTTAAGTTTTAAGTTAAGTCAAGTTTGCTTTTTTCAAGACACAAAAACATGTTATAAAGTGGGTTATAACTGATGTATTTTATGTCTTAGAATAAAACATAAAAGTATCTTGAACTTGTGTTAATCACAGACCTTATTTCAGACATTTAACCAAAAATCCATTAGAAGTGCAAAAATGCAAACTCATTTCCAGGTTTTAGGACTCATTCCTGCATCTCTATTTTAGATAAAAAATAATGGCAAAAAAAGATTTTAACCTCTTTGTCGTTCCATTCAAGGTAATAACGGACATGTTTCTTTTCATCAATCACCCAGGACTTTATTTTACACATGATGTCCTGCAAGCAAAGAAAACATTAAAAGAAAATGTCAGTGCATGTCTCTGCAGGCTTTCTGTTAAATTAAGAAGCAGGTTTTAATTCTGCAGTGGTCAGATGCATACTGGGATCTATAGTTCACTCACATATTCAGGTTTGAGTTTTTTGTCTCCACCCCTGACAGAGGTTTTCTCCAGCTTATCTATGATTGGCCCAATCATCTCTTCATCCTTCATCCTCAGCTCCTCATGAATGATCTCAATATCCCTAACTGGGTCAACACACCCCTCAACATGGATAATATCTTCATCCTCAAAAGCTCCTATAAACAAACGGTTACATATAATCAGGTTTTTTGTTTGATTGTTTTTCATCTCAGATATCAACATGTTTAGGTTTTTATCTGACACATATTGTTGAATTATGTCTCTCACTCACACAGTGTCACATTTATTTGCAACTACAAGGTAACTTACAGATAAAGAATTTCATAAAATACAGTTTGAAGTTGCAATCTACTCACGTGTCATGTGAAAGATGGAATCACAGGCACTGATGTGGGAGAGGAAGGCGTTACCCAAACCCTGGCCTGCGTGGGCCCCTTTTACTAAGCCAGCAATATCCACCACATTCAGAAATGCTGGAACCTTACTGGAGGGAAAGGTAAAAGAGAAATGAAGATCATGTCACTGATGTCTAGGAGCAGAAGGTGCTGATAATTGTATTATGCAGATGCAAACATGCAGTGAGCACCTGACTGGTTTATGGTACTGGCACAGGAAGTCATAGCGCTCATCTGGAATGGGCACACGGCTCTCGTTTGGGTCGATGGTGCAAAAGGGAAAATTCTCAGCCGCTGCCTGACTCTTTGTCAGAACATTGAAGAACGTTGACTTTCTGAAACACAAACAAATTAACTGAGATAAAGGACGAGGACATGGATCACTGACATGTTGCTATGCATAACAAATGAACAAGTATTTGCTATATATATATATATATATATATACACAGAGATCAAAGCAGCGTCCGAAAAACTCACTGTCTAGTATGTACTACATTTGGTTTAAAACTTACTTCTTCACTGTTTAAAAAGTATGTTTTATTATGAAATTGGGTAGCATGTATGAAATCTGGATGTAGAACATCTGCCATGTTGTCACTGTCACATGACTGCATTGCATCACTGCCATTCACAACTCCTCTCCCATGGCTTTATGGGACTGAATCTCGCCGGTAGTAGTAGTTCATCCAGGTACTTTTTGCCATACTATGTATTCGGACATGCTAGTCTTTTGGCGTACTGTTTATCGCATCCTATATAGTATGAAATTAGGCATATTCGGACACAGCGCTAATTTGTTTCCATTCAAAAACCACTGCCCATCCTGTGCCAGGATTATGTCATTTTCATAATGGACCAAGATCATGAGTCACCATCCTAATAATTTCACACAATATAGCAGGTTAAAATTAAGACCAAATTTTAAAATAAACAAAAAACAACCGCGCCAAGCATTCACACTTATTCAGTCTGACACTATTCCTCCAGCAATGTCATACTAGAAATATCGCACACATGCATAAAGCCAAAATGCCAGCTGGAAGAGACACGTACCCTACATTTGGTAACCCAACAATTCCAATTTTCAAGGAAGTCCCGAAACGTCCAATCAGGGGCTGTTGTTTTGGTCCATCACCACCCTTCTTTGGAGGCATCTGTGGAAAAAAAAACATTCATACCCACTTTCACTTTAATGCATTACACAATTAACTGAGAAACACAACCTGTCACGCAGCTACCACCTTTTTAGGAGCCATGGTAAAATGTTATCAGTACTCTCTTGCAATATTACGAATGGAGTATATTTCGCATAATTAAGATGCAGTAGAAGCCACGCAACGTGTAACGTTAACTTCTTCGGCTGGCTAACTGCAGAAACTAGTTGCCTTTCCACGACAGTTAAACTAATGGCAGCAGGTTCCCAAAATAGCCCCAGCATTGAGTGTAAACTGACCGGCCTGATTCGCTGTAAGAGAGGCTAAATATATACCACTCCCTGGACCAGAGAAGACATATATCATATCACTGCTTTATAAATCCCTGCATCACAGCTAAGTGACAGCCGGGTTAGCAGAGGTAGGGGTTCTTCATCGCTCGCTAGGAAGCCAACAGAGACACACATGTGCATCCACAGCATCAATACCCCTAACGTTATCCCGCGATTCATTATGTGTAGCAAGTTAGCATGCCGGTCATACGAAGGGGACAACATGCAATGAAAACAGACAATTTAACGAAAATGCCACGTTTTTGCGATCTATATATAAATATGACAAAGCCTGCGCTTAAATCACCTTGATATCACACTATTTCTGTAAGCAGATGGGGAATTTCGCTGTGCTCAAATGAACACACGCTGCTCCACAGTTCGGCTGACGAAACGCAAAGAATGTGCATACCGGAAGAGTCCTGAATTCTCACATTGTGATTGGTCGAAACCAGTTACGATATAATGACGTTAGTGTATGACGTATGCAACATTTTTTTTTTCATAAAAAAACAAGATTAGGGAAATTTAATTTACGATGTTGCACAAATTTTACCCTGCTAAGCACTTTTTATCTAAGTTTAACCAAGACAACTTTTTTTGTTTGTTTGTTTATTGCAACCAGAAACTGTACCTCATATTTTCAGGCACTGTCAATATACAAAAGAGGTTATGGAGTTAGAAGCTTATTTGTAGTTACTATTACAGGGAGTACAAACAAAGCTGTTAAAACTGCTTTAAAAATACATTTAAGATTTACTATTATTTATTATTATGTATTTATTTTATATGCTATTTTGGGTTTCCATGTTTTATGGGGACATTCCATATATACATAATGTTTTTATACAGTACAAACTGTATATTGTTTTTCCTAACCCTAAACCAACCCATCAGAGAAAACTTTCAACATTTTTACATTAAAAAATATATAATTTAATATGATTTATGATCTGTTTTCCTCATGGGGACAAAAAAAATTCCCCACAAGGTAAAAAATGACTGATATTACTAACACTGTGGAGACATTTGGTCCTCATATTGTAGGGTTTACCAGGACCACCCACCCATCCACCCACACACACACACACACACACGCACACGCTATCACCCCACCCCACCCACACACACACACACACACACACCGGGTTTTCATGTTTTACATGGACTTTGCATAGTCATAATGATTTTATACTGCACAAACTGTATATTCTATCCTCTAACCCTAAACCTACCCATCACAGAAAACTTTCTGCATTTTTTACATTTTCAAAAACATCATTTCAAAAACATCACTTCACTCCATCACATTTTGGATATTGCCATCTTTGTGGGGACTTTTTGTCTTGACTATCAAAGTAGTTTTTTTAGGCTGAAGCTTTGCCCTTTAAACGTATAAATCTTGCTATGCAGCTGCCATTTTACAGGTACAGATATTGTTTTTGACTTTAATGTATGAACAATATTACAGAAATTAAACAATTTATGACTTCAACATTAAAATAATGTCCTCCTGCTTTCTAATGTCATTTCACATATCTAGATATAAAATTATGACATACTTTGTCACAGAAACATAAATGCCATCACTTGTATAGATTCACACCAGCTAAACAAATTTACATACATAAAATATACAATTAGGGAGATTGCACGCTTCAGTAAACATGAAGGTCCTTAATAGTTCTGTTGATTGAAAATGAAGTGACCCCATTGTAAATTCCAGAGATTGTCCTGAATTTCTCCTTAGCTAGCTCTCAAAACGTAACTGTGTTCGTAAACATGGCTTGTATTGCTTTGCTACAAGGCCATATAGTCTTGTCATTAAGACAAGGATCTATTAACACAAAGCACACAATTAAAATCCCAGTCAGAAGTGTTTTCGCAGCACTTGTGTTGACAGCATATTTCATATTTCAGTGTTTCAGTTACCATTTCATTATAATTAATGTAACTATAATAATTAGTGCAGATTCAGAGTTATACAAATGTGTCATTTGCTCTGTTCCAAAACCTTCTGGCAGCATCCTTGACATCTTGAAACCCATAAATGACTAATAAGAGATGCAGCAACTCTGTGCATCATACAAAAAGGTTTCTGCATATGAGACTCAACTTGCAATTGATTTTAACTGTGTTTAACTTCTGCATAGGATCTAATAAAAATAATACCCATAAATACATATAGCACTCACAAATACAGGAGAAAAATATAGCTGCAAGCAGAAATTATCGGGGTTCAAGCGCTTTAAGGGATTTACCATAGAAATGCAGCATTTTACACCTTTTTAAGTTATGACACCTATGGTCCGATTTCCATAAAAGTTTGCATGCTTGTTTAGAATCATGTTCTCACCTATTTTCATGAAGTATACATTTTTCGTTTAGGAATGATAGGCTTTTGGGTCGACTTGGCCACACCCATTTTCTAAATGATCCAGCTATAGCTATCCAAAAGCCAAAGTTATTTATTTTTTTTGATAACTATTGACCTATAGAGAGTCTCGAGAATTGTGCCGCAGTGGTTTTATCGAGGATAAGCCAAAAACCTAGGAATAGTTCATGAAACTTAAAAAAAAAAAATCTCCAATATTTAACGAACGATTCAATTGACAGCGGCGGTCCTAGAGGCAACGTTGCTCAGAATGAGGAGTTCTACCATGTGGTATGAGTGGCAAAAATCATGTGGTATACAATCCTTTACGCACGTGAAAAATGCGCTACGCTCTTGAACCCCTAAAAATGAATTTTTAATTTGTCTCACCATCTTGTACTTATTTTTCACTCAGCTTGTAATAGTGCATTCTGGGATTGCCTTTTCACAAAAAAACACATGCAAAGCTGCCTTAAATTGGGCTAAAATGAGGTGTCTCAGGAGGCAGCATAACCATGTTGCTCACTTGATGCCTTAAAATGCTGCCTACACAGGCAGCTCATTAGGCTTTGGAACAGGGCAAGTGTGTGTGAAGTTCAAAGGCTGTTGATTGTGCATATATGAGATAAAGAGTTCTGTGCTTTTTGCATGCCATGCATAGTTATTCAAGATGTACAACACATACTGATACATAAATCAGTCTATTTAGCTCTTGTTTCGACTTGTGTGACACCACAAGGTGAAGATTCACTGAGCATATCACCCCTATGAAGCAATATCACAGGGAGCTGGAAGCAATACAGACATGTCACATGAAGTAAGTCAACGTTTATCTGAAGCCGTGTCCTGAAAGCAAGGACACACCTTTCTGTCTTTGGCCACACCCACATACAAGAGCCAATGATCCCACTGCCCATACACCAGTGAGTACACCTGTCAATCAAAGGAAGGATTCACCCACAGGTCCAGTGAGAGATTCAGAAGATCCACTAAGAAGAAAGTGAAAAAATAAACAGTTAAAAGAGGAAAAAAGAACAGGAATAGGTCAGAAGGAAGGTTTAAAGGTGAAGTGTGTTATTTTTCCAAATTTGGAGGGGACCTATTGTTTTTGGGGTGTAATAGAATAGAATAGGTTTTCACGCTTGAATATTCAAAAATACATTATTTTTCACATTTTACATTGTTGCAGCACCTCTCTTCCCAGTCTGTCATTAACACTCTGGCTGTGTCCAAAATGTTATACTCTCTTGAGTAGGTACATTTTTGAATAAGCACACTTCAGAATCTCGCCGGAAGTAGCAGGTCATCCGGGTATATAGTAGGGAAGTATGCGATTTAGGATGCAGCCTCTGTTTAGTTCCTGTTTCTATGAAGCCCCTCCTTCCAAAAAGCGCAATGTACTCCGATTGGTTGGCTGGACCAGTGTGTTCTGATTGGTCAACCACTTGAAGCGTGTTTCAGAAATGTCACGCCCTTTACTATAATTGCAGTTTTTAACACACTACTAACGCAACTCAACAAGGCCTTAGCCTAGCGGGAATTATTTAAATCAGGAATATTGTGATGCATTCCCGGAAGAAAACTTAAGACTACAATTTAGGTGTTTCAAAGAGTTCAGAAACAGTGCGCTCTGATTTAGAGAATAAAGGCCCGTTCACACCAAGAACAATAACTTTAAAGATAACTACATTAGCGTCCACACCAGCGGATGTTAACGTTCTGTTTATTTTATACGTGCACTGCAGTTTTGTCGTCTGCAGCTCTAAATGCTCGAGCTGGATTCTGATTGGCTGTTTTTATCGTTCATCAACTGTAAAATATACTTCAGAAAGTGATTCCAACAATATTGTTTCTCTGTGCCGTTATCGTTATAGTTGTGGTGTGGACTCTGCTATTCTTATACATTTAGAGCGATTTTTAGAGCTACATCTTTATCGTTGTCATTATTGTTATCGTCATTGGTGTGAATGGGCATTAAAGGTGCTCTATGTAACTTTTCTACTAAAATGAATCCTTTTTTTATGCCTGTGTGTGAAGGGGTAGTAATCACACATTAAAATGATCCACTTGTCGAGTTTTGCTATTACCTCTGAAGGCCAGTATTCCTATTTCTATGTGAAGTCTCCGGGTCGGATTTACCGCGAAATCCAACGGATGTGATGTGCATGCGCGCTCCCGAGCCTCTCTCCTTATATACAGTCTATTGTAGACAGTCAGGGAGTTATGTCCGGTTAAAGGCGCACGTTTTTCGGCTTATATCTCAGTCAATCTTTGATCAATATTCCCAAGACTCTAATCGTTCGTAGTGCTGGACGGGGCCTTTCGAACGAGCCCACCCCCGAGGTCCAACTCGCCCGGCTCCCCGAGTTATAGCCGTTCGAGATGGGGGGTCCCAGCGAACGGCGATCCGGTAAGGGGCATCCCCGAGGCCCGCCACTCTAGCGTTCGGGCAAGGGTTCCCCTGGGACCTCCTCCCCCGAATTTGAGCTCTCTGGGTCTTTGCGTTCCAGAGATACGAGCGATTTTCTTCTGAGATCGTGACGTCACCGGCGTCCGCAATTTTGCAGCGCGCCCGATGGTTTTCTGCTAATATCTCCGCGAAAACACCACCAAAAACTATGGAACTTATATGGTTCTTTTCAGCTCGACTAGATGGTCCCAACGAGCTCGGTGCTCGCCGAATCCGTCAAGTATTCGCCGAGATATTTGCGTAATAGACGGTATTGTCTATGAGTTCGAGCACGAGCGCTCTTGTAAAATTTGGTTGCAATCTGAAACATCACCACTAGAGGCCGCTAAAAGTTACGTAGAGCACCTTTAACCCCCCTTTAGAGTGGATTTAATGCTTTGTAACTTTGCAGATCTTTTCATGTTGAAACAGCAACATTACACACTAAAGAAAGTTGAAAATGTACAAAAGCATAATAGGACCCCTTTAAAACACTCTCATAATCCCATGCAGTTAAATGTAGAGACAACAATAGACAAGCCCTTACTATAAATAAAAATGGCAAAAAAATAAAAGTAACCTAATAATAATATGTTTAATAATGTATTTGTGATTAACATCTAGAAAATGTATATAAAAATGAAAAGAAAGCGCAAAGATACATTAGAAAACGCTTGTCCAACTATGTGACCATCTATAGTTAAAAATACTACGCTGCACTGATACTCTCTGAAATTATAAATGATTTCACTTCTAACCACATATAAAATATGTGAACATACACATACTCACCCTCTTTGGCGAACAATATCCTGAACGCACTGATCTTTGTGGTATCTCACAAACTGTGTACAGGTCAGTCGTATTTCCTCAGGAACAGCAGCAGACTCGAGGCTTTCATCCTGACCGAAACCACACAGAGTAGCCAGCCTACAAACACACAAAGAAGCAGCTGAAACCACATCCAAAATAAATAATAAATAAATAATAAATTAATAACACAAACATGGCTGATTCACCTCTTTTTGAATGGAAGAATAATCAGGTGCTCGTCCAACCCAAAAATTCCAAAGGAAACAAAACCCTGATGGAGAAAAGGCACATTTGACATTTTTATAGCAACTCTAGATGTTCTAAGTTTGCAGTGAGAGTTGTGTTACTGTGCTCACCTGTCCATAATTGGCTACAGCACAAAAGAACTGCAGCTCGAGGTAAAGCCGCCCTGGATCTGCGTTGAACAACCACCACAGGTAGCTGGACAGGTTCTGGAAGAAAAAAACAGACCCAAATGTAAAAGAGATAATTTGACGTTGGAGGATGTTGAGTGCTCCGAGTATAATTTACAATGCTTCATGAGGCTTACTTCATTATGCATGTGTTTATGAGGGAGTGTATGTGTAGTGGACATACAGCCAACATGCTGACGATGAGAAGCAGGCAGAGGAGCACATGTCGAGCTATCTGTCTCTCCTCCTGCACATGCCTGGAGCTTGACGCCTCGCTCAGGAAAATCCCTGAGAAAAGAAACACGCTCTTTTATACTCCCTAATGAAACTTGGCGATCAAACAGTATTTAATGACTTGATATAAGTATGAACCATAAGTATGAAGTAAAAAATATTTCAACCTGCTGAAGGCACTGGCGAGTCAGTAAGATGTCCGACTATCATATCTGGCATGGGTTCATTGCAGTAGACATCTGTCAACAAATGAGAAGTTACAATACATGTACATTCTACAAATGTGCAGCATTTGAAAAGCACTTTTTTTGAAAACAACTACAGTCACCATACCAAATAAGGGATGTTGTTAAAGGGATAGTTGACTCAAAAATTTAAATTGTCATAATACTTATGTTGTTCCAAACTTGTATGCATTTCATTCTATATGGGAACACAAAAGAAGCTATTTTGGAAAATGTAAACAACAACAAATGTTGTTTTGAACCCCTTTTATTACGTTGACAAATTTATTTAGAGATGTATTCTTAAAATTATATTTTGTGATCTGCACAAGAAAGTCAAACAGGTTTGGAAAGACAAAAGTGGTCAGAATTTTTATTTTTGGGTGAATTATTATTATTATTTCTTTAACCCTCTGGGGTTCTTCGGGTCAAAAATTACCCGAAGCGTTTAAATAAAAAAATGTTAAAAATCGTAGCTTCATCGGAATGGTCCAAAACTTGGTGACTTTTTTAGTACTTGGTATATGAACACCCAAAAAAATTGGGGACAGGATTTGAAAAGTCTAAGTGGTCGTAAAAAAAATAGTCACACTCAGGGTCTTCGGGTCTAAAATGACCCGCATAGGAAATGAATGGGAAATTGGCAAAAATGTGAAAATACAGAGTTTTTTTGTGCATACAATCTACCAAACAGCCAGGATGCAGAAAAAAAGCACACAACAGTGAAGGGGTGAATCTCTTAAAACAATGGGTGACAAAATAGTTTCCATTTGTTCTCTTTATAATGCAATGTTCAGGTTTGAATGTATTATAAAGTAAAACTGCCACTTCAAATTACCATTTAAACCAACCAAATCTTTTTTTTTTTTTTTTTTAATTTTAAAAAATGACAAAAATAGTCTTTGAGAATCTGTTATTATATATTCAAATCAACAACCTGAAAAAAATTAAACAATATGTGAAAAAATCACTAGAGTGTTTCTACCATAGGTTTCTACAGAGAGCTGTAAATCCACTAGTGGTAAAAATGTGCTATTGCGTGATAAAAATGCTCAGTGTGTCCACCAGATGGCTCCGATCTCATTTCAAAAATTGCTTTCATGAGGCCTAGACTTGACTCTTAAAGGTGACCTATAATTCAAAATTGAATTTACCTTGGTATAGTCAAATAACAAGAGTTCAGTGCATGGACATGACATAGAGTGAATCTCAAACTGGACTGTTTTCGCGTTCTCATTTAATTCACGTTTATGAAAAACACCCCTGAAAAACGGTCGGTTCTCCACACAATACCGACTGTGACGCAATAGTCGGGATCATTAATATGTACGCTTCCAAATATTTGCATAATGCCAGCCCTCAATGCCAGGCGGAACTGCGCAGCCGAAGCATGGCAGTTGCTCAGTGTGGATGTACACATGAACACAAAAGTATTTTTTAGTTCCTTCATCTGAGCCTTTGAAGAAACAATGGGTTAATTTGATTTTCTCTGGAAATTTCCAAACATTTCACCGAGTGTTTCCTCAACTTGGGCCAATACAGAGCTGGCCTCGGATCGAGCTACCAAGCAACACTTTCTGATGTGTAATTGTTCAAGTTCAGACAGGTAATCTTTCTCTCAAAATCGTTCAATACTGTTTATGCATCAGTAAGTCAAACCAGTGACTAAAATATCAGCTTCACATCGTTTCTTTTAGTAGGATGAAAATAATCGTATTTAAATTGTGAACAAATTATATACAGAAAGCGATCAGAGAACAATCTTTCCACACAGCGCGAGTTTATCTGGACACTTGCCAAACTCGTTATGAAATCAATGACGCACGTTACTGCACAACGAAGCTCTTACTGTATTTACATCATCGTGTTTGCATTGGTGAAAGCAGAGAGAGTGCAGAAACTGCTTTGCAATGATAAGATCTTCAGTCTCGCGATCAACAGACTGTCATCTGCTCAATGCTCATCACGGCAACATTTTATGTGATGGGAATAGATCTAAATACTTTAAAAACATCTCACGATTCGTTAATCTCGATAGCTGTTATAGTACAAACGTATAATAGCAGTAGTAAAAGTATTCGGGAGAGAGTTTCACATGTAATGCGTTGCTATTTCATATGCAAGCATGTCAGCCAATCACAGCAGTGGCCGCGGTTACACTGAATCCCACAGCAGACACGCCCCTTCAAACAGAGTGTTCAAATCAGAGGCTAAAAGCAGGCTAGGAAAAATGCCATTTATTTCTAAATTATGATTATTTTTTATCTAAAAAACATACTAACATTATAAGGGTAACCCAGGAAACATTATAAAATAATAAAAAAAAACATTCTAGGGCACCTTTAAATGAAATACAGCTTTAATAAAAAAAATTTTTTTATTATATATATATATATATAAATTTTCTATTATATTCAATGGGAAAAAATGGGTCTTAATTATTGCATAAATATTAATTATAAATCATAAAATTATCTCAAAACACCAAAAAAGAAAAGAAAAAATATTATTGAACAAAAATATATTTCATTGATTTTACTCAAATAAAATGTATCTTAATGCCGCCCTCCGGGTCATTTTTGACCCGAAGGTCCTGAGTGTGAGTCTAAAATGAAGAACCCCAGAGGGTTAAAGGTGCATTGTGCAACATTTCATGTTAAAAATACCCGTTTTTCTAACCCATACATGCTTAAACAATTGCCTGATGGGCTGAATGAGCCCTTCTCTGATCACTGCGATTGCTTCTATAATCCTGTACAGTAAAATAAATAAGAGGGATTCGGGCCGGAACGTGAGACTGGGCGTGACGTCATGCGCGTTCACGCTCCCCTGGCTATGTCTGGCAGGTTTGTGTATTCGCCACCATTCTCCGTATTAGCGAAGACAACTCGAGCGACAAAACTTCAGTCAACTTTCATAAAAATTGGAAGATGGATTCAAAGAGACCGGCTTGTAGTTCATAAACCCCAACGCAAACTCCACGCAAGACAAAGACAGTAAGGCAGTTTCGCTTGTCGCCAGAGGGGGGCATAGTTCTGCAAAAACTCAGAGAGGTGCGCAATGCACCTTTAGAGGGTTAGCTCACCCCAAAATGAAAATTCTGTCATCAATTACTCACCCTCATGTCCCTCAATTAAAAGTCTATTCACCCAAACCTCTTACGCTTCAAAACATTCATAAAGAGATTGTAACAGAAATCCAAATGAATAGAGCGGGTTAATCAAAGTCTTCTGAAGAGACACAATCGCTTTACCATATCTTTACCAAGCATCAGAGTTTTGGGTGAGAGACAGAAATCTCTCAGAAATAATAAAAAATATCATCATTGGTGTTCCGTAGATGAACGAAACTCTTAAGGGTATGGAACGACATGAGAGTGAGTGATGACAGAAATTAATTTTTTTGTGAACTATCCCTTTAAGTTAGTTGCTTTGCTTATTGTAGAATATATGTACATATATAATCTATATATAACAACAATCTACCTGTGTTGGTTTGATCTAGCTCAGATGAGTTCTGGTTCTCTGGCTGGGGGTGTCTCACATCTTCTGTTGTGCCTGTCATGGAGTTTTGATCTAGGGCCTGATAGTTCTGCTCCTCCTGGGCCCCTCGGCTCAAGCTCAACAAAGACAGACCAGCCAGAACGATGCTGTAGCCCAGAACTACCAGAGTACACACAATCTGAAGAGAAAGGGACAGTTAGTGTGTGTGTGTGTGTGTGTGTGTTGGGGGGTGCAGAGACACATTGTTGCAGACAAAAATCCCAACCTACCTGCCCCTTGCCGTAAAAGAAGGCGGAGTCTACGTTGTCATTCATTCTTTGTCCTATCATGAGCAGCGCGCCCACAATCAGAAAAGGAATTCTAAGGTAACAAAATTAAAACGCAAAAGGTGTTTTCTCCAGTAAATATGGAATTCTGCTGTATAATTTGCTATCAGTTTTAAAAATTCATTTAATTTCTTGTTGAAAGGATTTATTTTTTTGGAATAATAAACACACACGCATATATACTCACCCCCATCCAAAGATGATGAAAACTATGGGTTTCACTTTCAAGTTTTCATTTCTGCCCAATAAAGTAAGAGCGAACGCCAAAAGACCTATAACACAATATCTACACAACTGCTAAACACCGCTACAACTGCACAACACAAAGGAGATGTCTCACAACCTAAAATCACACAATGAAAATAATCCTTCTCCATCAAGTATTGTTTACATCAAGTAAGTGTTTGATGAATTGTTACCTGTCCACATGTAGGTACTGTAAAGAGACCCATAAAGTAGTGTAAAGGTGAGAATTTGGCCAAACACGTTCCCCTGCTTCAGCACAAACTTCCACAAGATCATCGACACACACACTAGGAGCTGCATAAGAGACAAAATAAACATAGCATGCTTGAAGTAAATCAAGAAAATATGTTTTTACATTTTCTGAAGAAATATACGTTAAAACAACTTGCTGGTTGGCATGGGCATTGGTTTGTGGCTGCTAAGGTGTTCTGATCAAGTTTTATTGTGTCATTTTCAGTTGTTAGGGTATTTAGGGTAGGTTGTTGCTAGGATATTGCCAAGTCAAAAGATCCCACCACAAGAGATATGACTTGGGTCCCACATTCAATGTAAGTCTATGGAAATGTTTGTCAGTAAACGTTTAATTTACTTTTAGTAATAGCAGAAAAAAAAAAGTCTAGTAAAAGTTTGATGCACTGAATTCTTAGGGGTAAGAGTTTTTGAAAAAGTGCTACTAATTAAAGAGAGAGGGAAAGAAACAGGGAGGGAAAAAAGCAAGTGAGTGAAACAATTATGGACATGTGTGCCTTTGTGCAGATTGTGTACCTGTGCTAAAAACAGATTTGTGGCAAACATATGTGGCAGCCTCCTAAACTTCTTACTTAGAAGCATGACAGCAAGGGTCCAAACCTGCAACACACACACACACACACACAAACATTTTGGTAATCCAGAGATTCTGTAACTCATTGTTTCTGGGATAAGATTTTTGATTTAAACCTCTGTTTGATGTAGAACCTATGATTTCCAATCCTCTTAAAATTCTTATTCATGTTCTCTATGGTTACACGTGCATATAAAGCCAAGTTTTACAGAGCAGTACAGAATAAAATAAAATCAGAAATTAACCAGATGAAAAGAATAGGAGAGGGAGAAGAGAATACAACCTGAATAAAACAAACAAAAAAATTAATAGAATCAAAAGTAAGGTATACCAGAAGAGACAGAAGAAGAGAATAGAACAGAATAGACAGAACTGAACAGAAGAGAAGAGAATCAGAAATTAACCATAAAAAATAGAAGCAAAGAGAACATGAATAGAATTGAACAGAACAGAGCAAAATTAAATAGACCGAATAGACGATATATAATAATATAATAGAATCAAACATGAACCAGATGAGTCAGGAGAACAGAAGAGAACCTTAAAATAGAATAGAACACACCAGAGTGAACAGACATAGAAAGAATTGAACAGAACAGAACATAATTGAATAGACAGAATAGACAATAAAATAACGGAACAGAATAGATTAAAATAGAATCAAAAGTGAACCACACAAGACAGGGGAACAGGATAGAACTTTAATAGAATAGAATAGAATGGAATAGAATAGAATAGAATAGAATAGACAAAAGAAGTGAACACACACCAGACCTGAATAGAATTGAACAGAAAGGAACAGAACCAAATTGAATAGACAGAATAGACAATATAATAACAGAATATATTAAAATAGAATAAAAAATGAACCACACAAGACAGTGGACAGGAGGAAACCTTATATAAAAAAGAAGTGAACAGACCGAGAAGAGAAGAGAAGAGAAGAGAAGAGAAGAGAAGAGAAGAGAAGAGAAGAGAAGAGAAGAGAAGAGAAGAGAAGAGAAGAGAAGAGAAGAGAAGAGATCTAACTGAATAAGTCTTTTCTCACTTCTAATCCACTGTAAGCAAATGTCATGTGTTGTTAAACACATAAACCCACACACACACACACACTCACCAGGGCTATTAGGCTGACAATGCTGATGTTAAAGCTCACGTCCTGCAGCTCCGCCACCAGGGACGAGGCCTCCAACCATGGGATGGTCAGTAACCAAGCCGACACATACATGATGGGTGCTGACAGGAAGGTGCTAATGACCATACCAGAGGTCACCTACCACACACAAAACACTTGTACTGATCTGTGTTGACTAATGTTTAATAGCAGTGACTGAGTCTAGGTGACATTTACAGAAATTCATTCATAGCTTACCACCTCCAGCTCCATGTTGTACTTGGCAGCATAGATGGCCACGCTGGGAGCGGTGGGGAAAACTCCGTAAAGGAAAGCATAATCAGACAGGCTAGAGTGATTCACAGAGCTGGAATTACCAGCATTCAACAGCTCCATCATGTCCTTACACATCAATGGCATAACTAGCCTGGAAAACACAACCATACAGTCATAGATCTGCCTAAATTGCATGAATCAGCACTAAAAAATGGTTCAGATTTATGTATTTTAACTACATGTAAAATTTACATTAAAGGGATAGTTCACCCAAACATTTTAATTCTGTCATAATTTACTCACCCTCATGTCATGCGTCAAAGTGGTAGTTGCGTAGGCTGTCAATGGAGGGACAGAAATCTCTCAGATTTCATTCAAATTATCTTCATTTGTGTTCCGATGATGAATGAAAGTCTTACAGGTTTGAAATGATGACAGAATTTTCATTGTTGGGTGAACTTTCCCTTAATTTGCATAACATGCGTTTTAACATAAACAACCTAAACTTAATATGATGCATTTGAATTAGCTTTTATTTTTATATTTACAGTTTTAGTAATTTCATTTAGTAGTTCAGCTTTAGTGACCTGTCCTGACCTGTTCCTTTAGTTTTAGTAATTTTAATACTTCATCTTCAACTGATTTTATTTTAGTTACTTGCCAAGACAACATTTCTAATTTTCTTCTAAGGTTTTTTTATTTTATTTTTATTTTTTAAGTTTTTCATCTGATATTTATATTATATATTTATTTTATTTCAGCTTCATTTCAAATAATGAAAATGATTTTTATTATTTTTCTTAGTTAACAACAACACCACTGCTGATGATAGGAATGACACCTTGGTCTGATGGTAACGTTTGCTATAACTAGCATAATCACGGTAGCAAGTGTGGAGTTCAAGACTACAACCTTTTGGTTAAACAGCTCAGATCTTTAACCACTATGCCATAACACCCCGCATACAACTCTCTTTCACTCACAGTTTGGCAGTGATAAGCAGGATAAGGGAAACCCCAGTGGTACGTGTGAGTTTACCCATCTGTCCCACCATGTTCAGGCCCAGATAAAAGAGTGCCGCCCCTCCAAAAGAGTCTGCCAGTCCATCAACAAACTCTCCTAATAAAACAGGGACACGTCCACCAAACAGGAAATGAGAGAGAATTCCGACAATAACCATGAAGACTATTGGGTTCTTCAAAACCTAAAAAGAGAGAAGAGGTGAGACCAACATGAAAAAAGGTGGACATCAACAGAAACTTCAGGATTAAGATAAATACACGCACACACACCTGCAGCATGACTGTAAAGATCACATGCAGTTTGCTGTAGCTGCGGTCATTGGAGTGTTTCCATCTCTGGATCTCACACAAAGCAAAGCCCACAGGGTTCAGCAGCATCAGAGACACAGGAGCCACCAGATATATATACTGCACATACTCTGGGTGCGAACTCCTGTACAGCGCATCCACTGTGTGGGGAATATGATCTTATGATTAATATGTTTTTGTACAGAACCGCCTGCGTGTTTATTTTAGATGTATTTGTGTGTGAGAGGATCCTCACCTATAGGATATCCCAGTGCAAAGTCGTTGCTCTGAGTGGCAAAGATAGCAAACATCCCTGCTTTACTGAATTTGCTCTCAGGATTTGCCACCAACAGCGTCAGCACACAAACTAGCAGGAACACGCACACTTTTGCGATCAAAACGCTCCATAGAAACGACCAGACGACGTGCTCAAACTGAAGCTGCACCATGTTCTTGAAAAGCAGGGCAGGAAGTGCGAAACACGACACGAAACTGCCCAATCCTTTGACCTGTGCCACGCTAATGATGTCACTGCGACCCGCCACATATCCGCACAGAATGATGCCAAAGCACTCCAGCAGAGCCGGGAAAAGTTTGTTGATAGACATGGCCGGTGCTCCGATAGGACTGTGGGTGATGTTGAGGCCATGAATGCTGATATATTGGCCCTCCATGATGAGGAGGTTGACAGTGACCACTGAGAGATGATCTTATGGTGCAGAGCAGAAAGCTAGGAATAAAAAAATACATAAAGAACATGTCAATAAACTTTAGTGAGGTCTCACTCTCAACAAAAGAATGTGCTGCTGCTAATACAGAACTGGTTTACTCCGCACATGTGTGCAAAAACATATCGGATTCATTCATAGCCTCCTCAGAATAGGGACTTGGGTGACAGCACGAATTAACAAAGCTAAAGTACCATTGATGCATGGAAATGTTTTTCTTCCAGCATATTGGATTATATAAAGCAATGACTATAAAAAAACCTTTTTATACTTTTTTTTTTAGATTGTTAAATTATTGATAATATGTTTGTTGCTTTTTATTGCTCCCCATTTTTGTTGCTCCCCATTTTCCCTGTCTGTTTGTTTGAATGGATGTTATTTTGTTATATCTAAAGACAATAAAAAGTTGATCACACAAATTAGAATGTGCTGCTGCCCTATATGTCACTGTTTTCCAGTAGAAGTGTGTTTATGAATTTATAGCTGCCATGGAGTTGTGTAATTATTATATTATACACTGCCCCGATCAAAAAAAAAAAGTCGCTGTTTGGATTTAAATAGGCTCATACTTAAGAGTCTATGACTGGATCATTATTGCAGTGATTATTATGTTTCTAGCATGTAATATGTTTGGCTACAGTTCTTCCTAATTGATGGAGTGAGTGTGTAGCTTTTCATTTCTTAAACAAACACGAAGACACACACATCATGGACATATTCCAGGATGACAATGTCAAGATTCATCAGGCTCAAATTTTGAAAGAATGTATAGTTGGGTGCATCATGCAATTTTGATATGATAAAAAATCGTATTAAAAGTAATGTAACTTAACTGTGAAGTATATCATAGATGAATAAAATGACTCGTATAATGATAGAACATTTAGCTCATGTAGTTGGTGACCTAAAGTGGTGGTGGGGGGGGGGGGGGGGGGGGGGGGGGGGGGGGCCTGCAGAGCTCATAGCCCCGGGGCCCAGTGAGCTCTTAATGCGGCCCTGGGTGCATGAATAATCATTTTACATTTATACAAATGCCAAACATATAACATGCTAGAAACATAATAAACACATCATAGACCCTTAAGCATTTGTCTATTTAAATCCAAAGAGCGACTTTTCTTTCTTTCATTTTTTTTTGGCCGGGCAGTGGCTATATTATATTATATAGCCTAATAATATTATTTTTAGGCTGTATTATATTATATAAATGAATTGCTGAAACTGGAGTAACTAAAAAAAGGAAATGACCAAATTTAAGTAAAGTTATTACATGATATACACAATTCTATATGAATTATAAAATTCTATATGGTAAATCTAATTATTACTATTATTTTTAAATGAGCTGCAAAAAAATCTGGACACTGACCAACTATAATATATTCATATAATAGCATAATATTGACATTTTTAAAAGAAATATATATATATATTAATTACTAAACAAGGCCAATGAATACACAGCCAAAGCTACAGTTGACATCTATACTATATAAACGTTTCAGTCTTACCTTGGGAGGAAAACAACCGAAATGTAACGGTTGTCGATGACCTACCATGTGTTCACGTGTCGAGATGGTTAATGCATGGATTGCATATCATGTTGAAGAAAAACAAAACGCCTGAAACATCCATGTTTTCACTCTGCTCACAGAATCTCTAGAGCTTCGGCACTCCGTTACTTACAATGTCAAATCACTCAATGACTGACGCTTGAGTCAGCCTATTACGTCTTCAAACCCCGCCTTAAACTCGTCTGGTCATGTCGCTGATTGGTGGAAATATGGACAATATACTGATAGTCACGGAACACACTCATGTGATTGGCCACAGTCATGCACGCTAGTGGATGGGCGTCATATTGCCTCTAATATTAGTTAAAAAAGGAATATGTTGGGAGACAGACAACCACATCATGGTCTATTTTTCAATTTAAAACAGAGTAGGTTTCCTTTCATTTATTTATTAATTTATGATAAATCTACAAAAATAAAATACAAGAGCATTGAAATGACAAAAAAACAAAAAGTTGCCAAATGAAAGCGCAACAAGATCTTTGTAAGAACTGAAAAGCACAGAAATGCACAATTATTTAAATGAAAAGCAAAAGATCAGCGAACTATCGCATTTTTATTTAGAAAACAACAAGTTTGGCACACCAGAATAGCAAAAGACTGTTTTTAATAAAGTAAATACACAAACTAAACAACAGTATGTTGTATGAAACTAAAATGTGCATCTACAGGCACAAAGAACATATAAAGTACCACATTACTCATCTGGTCAACACAATGTTATAAACGGGGTGCAAACAGAACATTAAAAAAAAAGAGGCCGTAGTAGGTATAATAAGATTGGTAGCAAATTGTTTTTTTTCGCTGTGCAATCATCTGTCTAATTCGATATGCTTATGCTGTTTTGCATACATCACTTAAATGTAATTTTCCTTTTAATGTTTTATTAGAAGGCTTTTGCAACTCTTCTTTATGTAAACAAACATAATGCAGCATAAACCAAGCCATTACATTGACATTGTAATTCAAAGATTGATACACTTATTGATTATACTTTTTGTAAAGCGCTTTAGTCAAACATAACAGTACACTTCCTGACAGGCACGTCTACATGTCTGAGAAACATACATAAGGCCACATAATACTGAGCTAATATCAACAAAACAAGCAAGTGCATACATATATAATAAAATATAGCACTTCTTAAACACAGTTTTGACTTCAACACAGATAGAATCCCATGATACATAGAAACACACTTGCATGGGATTTTAAGGCAAATCATTTTCCATTTAAAGATTAGTTCTATACAACATCAGCTCTCAGACTTGTTTAAATGGGGGTTGACCTAAAGAGCCTTTAATAAAGGACATCCACATTTCCCCATAAACTCAGTCCGTTTTATTTTTACATCAGGCACTGCATATGTGAACAAATTAGGTGGCAGTACCATCCATACATGCTACAGGATTAACAGAGTCCTGGCAGACTGCAGCTCTGCACACTGGAGAACATTCCACATTCTTTATAATGTGTTGGCCCTTATCACCACATACACATGAACACACAATGATACTAAAGCAAACACATTCATTTAATTTCAGTCTGATATTGTTCTAGTCACCTTACAATTTACCTTTTAAACGTCAATGCTACATTCCTACTGTGTTGTATGAAAACAGGAAGGTAGGGGGTGCCAAAACTCACCAAAGTTACCAATGGTTTAAATTGATAAGATATTCACCCAAAAATGAAAATTCTGTCATTAATTACTCACCCTCAAGTCAGTCCAAACACACAAGACTTTCATTCATCTTCAGAACACAAATGAGTATCTTTTTGATGAAATCTGAGATCTTTCTGTCCCTCCGTTGACAACTACGACTTTGACCCTTCAAAAAGTTCATAAAGAGATCCTAAAACTAATCCATATGAATTGAGCGGTTTAGTCCAAATTTTCTGAAGAGACATGATCGCTTTATATGTTGAACAGATTTAATTTAGGCTTTTAATCACATATAAACATTCATCAACTCACACATCAGTTGTAAACAGAAGTTCAAGGATGTGTTTGATCAAATAAAGCGATCCTCGGGTCTCTACAGAAAAAGCTACGCTGTACGCTCAATTCATATGGATTAGTTTTACAATCTCTTTATAAACTTTTTGAAGCATCAAAGTGTCAGTTGTGTAGCTGTCAATGGAGGGACAGAAAGCTCTCAGATTTAAAAAAAAAAATCTAAATTTGTGTTCCGAAGACAAACGAAAGTCTTACGGGTTTGAAACGACATGAGGGTGAGCAATTAATGACAATTTTAATTTTTGGGTGAACTATCACTTTAATGAGAGGCATAAAACTGACTGTTGCATTCCTTCCTAAAATATAATTACATCGAGGAGTGTCTAACAAACTCTGATGGAGTAGAAGTGACAGACAAACAACTGAAACATTCAACACTCTCCTAAAGGGCAATAAACTGCTGCAACAATTCATCTGGCTCAAAAAGAATCCTCAAAAATAAAGTCAAACTTAGCTGTAGTATCACTGTAGAGGTCTTTACTTGACATAGTCATAATAGTACATATTTATTAATCTATAAAACAAAAAAACTAAATGCTATAAAAGATATGTTTTCTATATTAGAACATAGTTTTTTATGGTTATTTATTTTGTTGATATTTTAATGAACTACTCTGGTTGAAAAATATCAGAAACAGACAGTACCAGAGAAAACAAGATAATTGAGTAAAGGAAGGATTGTCAGGCCCTGAGAAAACAGTTTCTTTCACCTAGGTATGGGGGGGAGGGGGAGGTGCACCTCGCTCTTTCTTTCCTGAACCTGAAAGAGACAGAAATATACAAACACACACACACAGGCACATAAACAAATGGGTAAGACCATGATTGTGCTGAAAGGACTGAATGTTATTCAAAGTATTCATTGGCATGTGGAAGCGACAGCTGTGGGTCAGTTTTGTCTAAGTGCATAGCAACGAAAACGCAAAAGATGAGAAAACACGGCTGTGATTGGTTACCTCGGCTTTCGTTCCTGGCCAGTTTGCTAGGATAGGTCTTGTGACAGGGAATGTAGGGCTCTGGGGATGGAAGGTCTGATACAGGTCGGAACGTGAAGCGTGATTCCCACTCATCTTGGAGAAATAAATCAAACACACACAATTAATCTGCAAATCCAAGTTACTTTCAGTGTTATTTAGAGCTAAATAGAAATAAATTGTAACTTCAAGGAATATGCTGGGATCAAAACACAATCTATAGACAGCATTCATAGATATGTGACATGCTGTCAGTTACATGTCCCCCCCCCCCCCGCAAAACCAAAAGTTCAACAAGCAAATGGGAGTAGTGTACTTTTTCCTTCTGGTAAATTGTACCAATGAAAAACAATAGAATACATGACAATTGTTCTTGGTAAACTTAAGCATATGAATGTCACACTACCTATATTATGCCCTTGATTGTGGTATCCATTGCCCATAGGTGGGGGAGGAGGGGGCAGAGGTCCAGCGGAGGGTCTGTCTGGTGGGAGTGGTGGTCTACTGCCACCACGGTGAGGCTCCACACCTGGTCTGTTTGGAGGAGGAGGGGCTGGTGATGACCTCACACTTCCTCCTCCTCCTGGACGACCAGAAGGAGGTGGAGGTGGAAGAGGACCTGTGGACAAAGACACATTAATGATCAAATGATCAAACAGGTGATTTCCAGATCTTTCTGCAACAACTTGCCACTCCTCGTTTACCTGTTCGTCCACCTGTATTCCTACCCAATGCAGGCGGTCTCTCAGAAGGAGGTGGAGGAAGGGGTCCGGATCGCCCAGGCGGAGGGGCAGGAGGATGCGAGCCAAGTGACAGGTTCCGTTCGGGAAGGCGTGGCGTATGCTCATCGGGAGAAAGTGAGCTTGGTCGTCCTGGCGGGAGTGGAGGTGCTGCACTTACAGGTGCCCGCAAACAGGCGGGAGCAGGAGTCGGAGGAGGAGTTGGTTTATTAATTGCTGATGGAGGAGGTGGAGGGGGCGGGCTGTCCCGAGTGAGAGGCAAAGAAGAACGATTTACAGGGGGAACGGGTGGAGGACGGTCATCACCTCGACCAGGTGCAGGGGGAGGAGGGGGTCGTCCGGCGTGACCAACAGAGGGCGAAGGAATTGAAGGAGGACGACCAAATCCACCTGGCACCGGTGGAGGTGCAGGCTGCCGTCCAGGGGGGTTTGGAGGTGGAGGTGTCAGGGCAGAACCCAGGCGGGGAGCTCCTGGAAGTGAGGGTGGTCCCCTGCTCTGTACGCCACTCTGAAAGGGCCGTGGGGCACTTGGAAGAGGTGGAGGAGGCCCTCCAGGTGTTTCAGGACGGGGTGGGGTCATCCGTGGGCGTGGGGGGTCAACGGATTCACTGCGTTGCATAGGCGGACGAGGGCCAGAGCCAGATCCTCCTCCAAAGGGCCGTGGACCAGTGCTACGAGCACCAGGTGGCAGAACCGGAGGCCTGACACAACTAGAGTCTGAAACAGACACCAAATAATCTAAGAGATAATATAATATAACTGTGAAGTTCTTTTATATATACACCCTTTTCAGAATTTTCTGAAGGAAATATTACATTGTATTTCATAAATTGTATATTACAAATATTATTTAATGTCAAATTCTAGATTGGAGCTTTTGTGTAACCACTAGAAAAACTGATGAAACGGTCATGAGTTACAACATCAGCAACCATGTCGTTATCAGCCATAACATAATAGTGTTGGGCAAGATTTCTATATCAGTCAATCCCTAATGAGGGTGAAGGGACCAGCCAGCCAGTACACAGAACACAATGTTTAAATATTTGTGATTTCTCACCATCTCGAGTGGAGCGTAGCTTTGGCATACCCCCCTGGAAGAGTCCTCCCAGACCACCTGGAGCTCCACCCCCAAACCCTCCCCCTCCGCCACCTCCACCGCCTCCTCCAGGCCCACCCCCTCCTCCTCCACCCCCACCAGCTTTGGGTTCTGTCAAAACAAAGATGTGTTTAATATTTTGGACAGGAGAGCAAACCTGCAACCAGTAAGCGTTGCTACTTGCTACACATATCATTTGTAACACATTAAATTAAGGCTGTTTTGGTACAAGAACTTAGTGTAACTCCATAAGATGTAGGTTCTTACTTTCGAATATGGGGGCACTACGGTCATTAGTAACCGCCTTCTTCAGCCTGGCTCCTTTGCTGATGTCCGACAGTAGAGCATTCCTGCCCTTCTCCTCCGATTTATTCAAGACAGGCTTCTCAATGTTTGCCTGTGAGCAAAAACAAGCATAGAAATTTTCTGTAGAAATCGTTAAAACATTGATGCATCATGCCTCCTCCACTAAAAGCTGGAATACACTACACAACATTTTCCCAGATTTGTGCCCTGATTTGCAGGCTGGAAAAGTCGATACTAGTTGACGAAAGTCAAATCCAGTCTGCAGATTTTAGGCAGTTGAGTTAACAGATTTGTTAGCAGAACAAATTGCGTAATGTATGATGACCACAGACTAAATTTCTTTAGCTTCAGACTATTATTTGATATTTTGAGCCAGTTTTAAAATGCACATTGTTTTCATTTGTCATGCATCTCTTAGCAATGAGGAGCATGTTTCTGTATGAGTTTGTTGTGTTCAGAACGACTTGAAAGTCTGTTAGTGTGTGATCCTTGGTTGTTTAGTGTATAATGCCCAGTTTTTATCTGTAACCATTTTTAAGTCGGAAAGTATATAATGCCTGGTGTTTAAAAGTCTCAGATCTTAAAAAGTTGCATCGTGTATTCCAGTCCAGAATGTGTGTTTATTTGTGTGTACCTGAGAGAAGGTGGGGGGTGGGGGAGGGGGAGGTGGAGGAGGTACCGGCATTTTTTCTCCTTGGTGTCACCTCCTCTCACTGAGACCTGACAAACAGACAGAAAAAAAATTTGTGTTGTTTTGCAAAACTCAATGCAATAATGCTGCGTGGTTATGCGGTTGCTAGGGCGTGGTTACTTTTATAAATACAATGTTTTTCCAAATAATAATAATAATAATAAATATATATATATATATATATATATTTCCTTATTTTATATATACATGTACAAATGTAATCCTTGAAAACCTTAAAGTAGTTTTGAATAATATTTTATTAGCTTATTCTTTCTAAGAAAAACAATATTTTAACAAAACATCTTCACTGAAAAACATTTATCCAGCAAGTAATTATTAATAATATCGATGTAATATTGTACAAAAATGTATAAAAAAAAATGTTTATTACTTTTTATTTTATGGTCGCACCATATGACATCATTAGAGCAATTCAATTTAAACTTTCCATTTAATATAGCACAGAATTGAAGTTTTTCAAAACCATACGAAACCAACATGAATACAAAGTCTACATTTCTAAGATCGCTGGCACAAGTTTTCTAAACTAGATTAAAGTTGGCATGAAACAGAAGTTGCGATAGTCTTTCCTTCACTATTGCGATATATCTGAATGAAGCGGCTTCTCAAACAAGAAGAAATGTAGGGCATGACTTGATTTCGTCTATCGGGAATTGATGAATCATCAGAGAAGAGATGTCGCTGCAAGTGGGAGGGGAAGTGATTTTGATTAAAGATTACAAGAGGAGAAAATTAAATTATATATCTGCACAGACAAATAATTTATAATAATAAATACTACAATATTCTATAAAAAAACAAGAATTGTTCATTTTGATTTCATGGTGACACTTATATTTGTCATTAAGCCCATGATCTTTGACCTTGTGTTGGTGCTTGAACACCATAAACAGGAAACCCAACTGTCGCACAAATAGCAACATCTGAAACTTCACCACACTTTTCAGGTTAAAAACAACAGCCTGAGCAATTCACCAAATCACTGGTACTAACCAGACCACATGAGCCTTATAAAGTGGTCTATAGCCACAAAGTTTTGAATGGGTTTGCAAGTCTTGAAATGCCCCATTGTGCTATACACCAAGATCCCTTATTGTGCATGTGATGACAACATGTGGGAAAAGCCATAACAAAAAAAGAAAGTCATTTCTGAGATGCAGAAAGCATACTGTAATAGACTAGTTCTCATAACACTCTCTCACATTTACAACTAATGCAGTAATAAATATCACATTCTTTCTTAATGCCAACATTTACAAACTGTATTTTTCACTGAATTCATGTGCAAGTTCGATGAAAGGCCCTTCTGCTGACTTCCGGAAGAGATCATAAACAGGAAGAGCTACAGCAATATACCTCTCACTTCTCATTCTCTCTTTCATAAACACACATCCACATGAGTTCATATTGTCCAGACAAAGATGGCAGAGAAACAATAAAAGGTTTAAAACCAGAAGTGTGAACAGATGAGACTCAAAGATAACAAGTGGACACACAAACATGGAAACACACTCAATTTACAAGCTCTTAAAACGTCTCCTCTTTCTTCATCAAGATCTCTCAAGGCGTCTAACAAACAGCCACATCACACTACTTCATTTCTCTCTCCTCCTCTCTTTCACTTCCTCAGCTCTTTCACACCCTCTCCCTCTCTCTATTCAGCGGTAAGCAGACATCCGGTCAGTTTGGTTCACTGTGAAGTGAGCAAACCCTGATGCTGTGCACAAAAAAAAGGTCATCATATAGTAGAACGCAGACATGCATATCATTTTCATAAACAATTATGTGTATTTCAGTTAGGCTGATCTTGACTAATATGGGTCCTTGTTGATAACACTAAAATTCAGTCACTAATTGGAAACCCCAGAAGTGGAGTGTAGCAATCATTCATAATCACTTCTAGCAATGTTTGAGTTCCCTTATACCCCACAACTTTTTTGGGGAAATAATCATTGGATTTTAAAAGCTTAACTTTGCTTGGCTGTGGTAGGAAGGAAAAAAAGGTCATGTAAAATGACCAAGCACGCAGATGATTCTGCCAAATGGTTCCATTGGCAGTAAAAACATTACATAAATCAGTTAGGACTACAGGGTCGAACGTTACATCGCCTAACTTATTTAATATTCATGAGCCATGGTGATTACATTTATATTATGTCACTGTACTTGAATATCTATTTGTTTGAGAATCCTGACCAGGGGTGCTCTTCCCAAAAGAATCGTCGTTAGCCAACTATGGTCACAAGTTCAGTCGTAACAACATAGTTCAAGGATTCAGTATTTCCTAAAACACTGAGTTCCGAGTTCCAAAGAACATTCATTAACAGCAACGAAGGGGAACAAAAATAGTGAAGTAAGTTACTGTAGGTAAAAAATGAACAGCTTTCTTTTGTTCATGTAAATTAACTATAATAATCTTAAAGGTGAACTAAGTAACTTTTTTACCTCAACCGAACAGCTTTGGAGTCATTGTAATGTTTATATTACTGATTTCGTGTTGAATGGTGGTCGTCTCGCACCCCCCTGGTGCCTGTGAGCCGCAAAACCACCCTTGCAACTTTGGGTCGGCGGGCCGCCGGCCTCAGTGTTAGGAAGTATCGTGTGATATCAGGTCTCGCGAGGTAACGAATTGCTTTACGGCAAAAAAACAGATCTGATAAAATTCTGATAAAATGAGCATCAAACAGAAATAACCCGGCGCCGTATACATGTGGTGTTCGAGGCGCACATACAATACAGACTGCCACCAGTTAAACAGGGTGCGCGCAGCTCTTAAAGGGGCCATACCTTATTTTCACTCGTTACAGCGTCCATCCTAGTGAACAGGTACCGGTGTACAGGGGGAGGGGATCCGGCCGTGAGTGCGAGCCATCTCTGCGTGAGTGCTATTCACGACAGTACAAGTACTCCACAGCGACTCTAGGGGTCGCTGTTTGACAAAAACGGAATTCCTACTTAGTGCTGCTTTAAATCAATCAGTTAGCAAACGTTATTACTCCACGATAACCTTTGTGCGATGTCATTATTCAGTTTTTTGTTGAATCAGCGTTGTTGAACAAAGATGGCAGTGCAGCCATGTTAACTAAAGTTTTGGGAAACAGTCGAGACTAACCAGTTGATTTCCCCAGTGATGCAACATACTGGTTGTTAAGCAGCGAGTTAATTTGCTGTACAGGTAACACACCGCAGACAAACACAGCAACATTGACACAACAGCGTGAGTTTGAGGCAGGGCTTTTTGATTTTACAACCAAAGGAGGGAGTGTTCAGATAGCCTGTTTAGAAAAGAGTGGGTGTTTCTCATTTCTTTTTGTGCATCCTTGTTTCCTTTCCACGCTTCCTTTCCTCGGAAGGATACACCTGTGTATCTTCGCTTCGCTTCCACACTCCTCGGCTGCGTCCAAAACCTTAGGAAGTTGACTTGTTGCCTCGCTGCCTGATGAAGGTACCTCACAAAACTGATTTCGGGACAGACTTCTGAAGTAGCGTAACAGTTAAATGATCTACAGCAAAATAGAGCGAGTTTGGGTGAAAACGAAGAGATTAAATTACTACAATAGTAACTTCTCGCTAGAAATGACATCATAGGTGGAAAACGTTGATCAAATATGTACATTACACACAAACTGACAACCAGCCGCAACTTTCAGATGTCATATTTATTTTTCTAGCTCAAATGTCACTGAATGGAAAGCACAGGATATCAAAGGCAGCGAAGGATCCATCTATGCTTCCTTCAAAAATCGATCAGATGAAGGTATCTCAGGAGACAGGAATGGAAACTAACATTGCATTCGGACGTGCCTTGATGCCTTCCGGCCTTGGAATGCGTTCTCCGAAGGCAGCATTTATCAGTTTTCAGATGCAGCCCTCGTTCCTTGTCTTCTCGAGGAGCAATTAGAGAATTGAGATGTCCTTCAAAATGGTTGAGTTTCCAGGTCACGGGCTGGAGGACGGAGGAAGCATCAATTTGAGTATTGAGAAGCACCCATTGTGTTCAACTTTTAGCTGCACCTCGCCTAACCGATCGGGAAGATTTGCCGCTTCCAGTCTACTGCTTTATGTCACGTCAAAGTCAAACTTCAAATGGCCTGAAAACATGATGACCATAGGGTTTTCAGTGAGCAATCAGCTTGGGGAAATGAAGGGTACATCTTCGTGTCTGTGACCAGTGTGCACAAGCTTGACTGCTGAAAATAAGTTGACTATTAAAAAGAAAAGCAGAACATTAGTTCACAACTAATATATATTGTTTAAATTGTTACTGCTTTTAGTTAGTATTTTGGAATACATGAAAAATGCATAAAAACACTAACTTGATAAAATTTTTACTTGGTTTTAATAAAAAAAAGAACATTACATAAAAAGAGAGACCAAATACTATTAGGCTACATTTTGTATTTTTACACTAACTACGTAATGTTAATTAACCAGGAAAGTGTAACAAGGACATATATATATAATATATGTGTGTATATATATATACTCACCTAAAGGATTATTAGGAACACCTGTTCTATTTCTCATTAATGCAATTATCTAATCAACCAATCACACAGTTGCTTCAATGCATTTAGGAGTGTGGTCCTGGTCAAGACAATCTCCTGCAATTTTGAGCGTGGCATGGTTGTTGGTGCCAGACGGGCCGGTCTGAGTATTTCACAATCTGCTCAGTTACTGGGATTTTCACGCACAACCATTTCTAGGGTTTACAAAGAATGGTGTGAAAAGGGAAAAACATCCAGTATGCGGCAGTCCTGTGGGCGAAAATGCCTTGTTGATGCTAGAGGTCAGAGGAGAATGGGCCGACTGGTTCAAGCTGATAGAAGAGCAACTTTGACTGAAATAACCACTCGTTACAACCGAGGTATGCAGCAAAGCATTTGTGAAGCCACAACACACACAACCTTGAGGCGGATGGGCTACAACAGCAGAAGACCCCACCGGGTACCACTCATCTCCACTACAAATAGGAAAAAGAGGCTACAATTTGCAAGAGCTCACCAAAATTGGACAGTTGAAGACTGGAAAAATGTTGCCTGGTCTGATGAGTCTCGATTTCTGTTGAAACATTCAGATGGTAGAGTCAGAATTTGGCGTAAACAGAATGAGAACATGGATCCATCATGCCTTGTTACTACTGTGCAGGCTGGTGGTGGTGGTGTAATGGTGTGGGGGATGTTTTCTTGGCACACTTTAGGCCTCTTAGTGCCAATTGGGCATCGTTTAAATGCCACGGCCTACCTGAACATTGTTTCTGACCATGCCCATCCCTTTATGGCCACCATGTACCCATCCTCTGATGGCTACTTCTAGCAGGATAATGCACCATGTCACAAAGCTCGAATCATGTCAAATTGGTTTCTTGAACATGACAATGAGTTCACTGTACTAAAATGGCCCCCACAGTCACCAGATCTCAACCCAATAGAGCATCTTTGGGATGTGGTGGAACGGGAGCTTCGTGCCCTGGATGTGCATCCCACAAATCTCCATCAACTGCAAGATGCTATCCTATCAATATGGGCCAACATTTCTAAAGAATGCTTTCAGCACCTTGTTGAATCAATGCCACGTAGAATTAAGGCAGTTCTGAAGGCGAAAGGGGGTCAAACACAGAATTAGTATGGTGTTCCTAATAATCCTTTAGGTGAGTGTATCTATATATATATATATATATATTTATATATATATATATAGATACTTATATATCTATATATATATATTTATATATATATATATCTAGATATTTATATATATATATATATATATATATATATATATATATATATATATATATATATAAATTGCATCCTCATTTTAAAACACCACCGCACACCACTGGAACACACCTATTATTTTTTTTGCAATTCTGTTACTAGCGTAATGATGCAAAAATTACCTCACCGTTATGATTTACGAGGGTGCAGATTAGTGCAAAAAAGTGGAAATGACAGGTGAGAACGAACAAGAAGAAAGGGTATGAGAGGAGGATAAATGTAGTGAAGAAGAGATGAGAAGAGAAGTACAGTAAAAGTTTCCTGGACACAGACTATATTTACATTCCAGTGTCTTGAGAGAGAGAACAGTGGAGATGGAGTATGGAGAATGTGATGCTATACACCCTACGGCTGCACAGTCCGGATGGTGCTCTGCATCCAGCAGTCTGAAATGTCATCATGTCGAAAACAGGGACTTTGGCTAGACATTATGTTCTTTTTGGAATTATTATATGCCAAGTGTGTGTTTTAGTGTGCCACTGTCTTATGCAAGCCCATAATGCATTTCACCTCTGTAGCGGTCAAGAGAGTCAACCCTGCATCCCAATTGGTATACTATGTAATGTGTTCTTCTAAACCGTATGTGAGATTAGTGTGTCCTCCTAAAGCAGCTTGTTAACTTTCACATTTGACATATGCCTGTGTGTACTTTATATTGTAGAACAAAACATGAAAACAATTTTCTAAAAACCAAGAGGAAATTCCAGAAGGAACCCATGCCAAATTAGCCTTCCAGGTTGTCCTAGAAATTTAGGAGCAACAGTCGGGTTCAAGTCAAAAATCCATTCTTTTATATCCATAGAGGGACTGATTTGGAACAATAACTTATAAACCTTAAAAGACAGACATACTGTGAGCTATAAGGTAATTAATCAATGGTATATGCTTTTGTATTCATTATTTTAAACTTATTTTTTTAATAATAACAGAGGAATTCCTGGTGAGAAACGAATTAACCCATGATTCTGCAGAGAAATTTCCCCAATCAGACAATCGAAACAAGCAAATTGTGTCAAAATAACTCTTTATGGCCCACCCACTCCCATGAAGCCCTGCAAATGATGTGATAGGGACAGTCTCCCCTACTCTCTCAAATTACTCAAATATTTGTAATTATATGCATATTTTGCAATAAATGTAAAATATGTTGCATCTATATACCCTCTTTAAATCAATAGTTTTTTTTATTTATCTCTCGGTTTAAATCTGTCATTCAGAACGCTTCATAGTTCTTTATGTGAAAGTCACTATGAAATAAAAAAGATTTTATGGAATATTGAAGTATCTATTATAAATGATTTATCTGTGCACATTATTTTTATTTTTTATTCATGTGCCCTTGTAAACTTTAATCAAAATAATGTACAATAAGCTGTTTCACTCGGATATAGGTGACAATAGGGAACAAAAAGACAACTTCTGCTTCATGACGGCTTTACAGTCTTGTACCTTTGTTGTTTTGTCCAATTTTCAAAGTTTGTAATGTTGTGATTCACCTGGTAGCTGGTTGGTTTGGTTCATGGCTTTACCCAAGACTTTTTTTTTTTCTTTTTTTTTATCTCTGTGGGAAAAAATGATTGGGAAAAATACTTCCGGAACCAAGGCAGCTTAAAAAGTTGTCTGGCACTCTATTGGGATGCAGCCAAAGACCCTGAATTTATGGAATCCAAAAGTAAGGCCAATGTCAACAATTGAAGGTTAAATCCGAGATATCCAGACCTCTCTAAATAATGTTAACTCAAGTAAGAACTGAAGAGATGGTTGGAGTCATTCAACCACAACCTGCTATACATGCAGAATCAGGCAGGAAGGGGCCACCCACAGAGAACCATGCATTAGTTTATTTGAAAGTGTCAAGTCAAGTTGTAAAGCAGAATTTCAGTCATTTGCTCTTTGCAATGCTTGCTTGTAATTCCACATCAAAAGCAAAAAAGCAGCTTACGAATGCTCAGCTAGCATAATGCGAGCATGTTCCAGCAAATAATGTGGCCACTGTCTCTTATTCTGTCTTTCCATCACTTTATTGTCCACTTCCTTTCTGAAACTCAGCATAATGTTGACACCTCTGGCTACATGCAAGCCTGTAGCTAATGAATGATCACAGATCCCGTCACATGATTTCTGACTCTCTTTGAATGGCTGGTCAGATAGAGCACTAAACCACCAGACAAGAGAGAAGAAGAAGTTATGACAGTCATAGTCATAGAGAGGAAGTTAATGCAGAGAAAGAACTCTACTTGTGTGACTTATGAAGCCTAAAATTACTTGTTCCTACTTAAGTTCGCACTAAAAACTGCACCCCTAAATTCACAGCCTCAACGGCAACTCACTGTGATTTTAAACCAACAGTTGCTTAATAGTGTCACATTTCACACTTGCTTAAAACCACATGAAAAAAATCAAGAGCATGTTTGGTATTGACATCAGCAGTCATAGTCTAATAAACGTATTTAATGCAAGAAATAAATCTCACTTGAAAGCTACATTTCTCAGTTTTTCAATGATCAAAGCATTTTCATGGTAGTAATTTGTCAGACACACTGACATTGACATCCCTAGTTTGTTTTACAAGACAATTCTACATCGGTAAACACACAAATCCACACAATCCTAAGCCAACTAACACACAAATGAAGAGCTTTGAGGTAACCAACTTAAAAGGAATGAATAAAGCAAAAATAAAACGATACTGTACTTGAAAAACTTTGGGACATTGACACCGCAAAATAATCTGGTCTTTAATTCACAAGAAGAAAGGATTAAAGAAAAAAAGGAAGGGGAAGAGCATATGACTTGCATTGTATCTCACTGTGGAGACCCCATGGCCTTTCAATTAGAAACACATGCTCACAGTAGTCCGACTCATGTCCACGAATCGATTCTTTTGAACAGTTCATTTTTTAAAGAACCGGTTACAAAAAAATTATTCGACCCATGATTCAGCTCACAAAAGTCATTATTTAGCTTAATAAAATTTGATTTACATTACACAATATTTAAACTAATTTACATCCTTTGGCTGAAAACGTTTCTCCACGTTTTTATTAAATGGTTTAAAACCAACTTGTATGTGTTTTGATAAAACTTTAAGTTGAAAACCTATTTCCAGTTATTTGTAACTTCTCTGATATTCCCCAATTAAAGCAACTTATCACCCTATAAGTGAAATCCGAGGCTCACTCCAAATATTGCTCTTATTATAATCTCATTAACCGGTTCTTGGGAATCGAGCCGAGCATTCGTAAACAAACCGCTCGGCCCGATTTTAACCGATTCACTGAAAAGATCCGTCTCAAAAGAACGAGTCTTTCACTAATCAGAAACCGCCTGCACCAACAGCAACAACCAGATTTGAAGTAATTGTGAAATGACAATGGTCCTTCATAAAAACAAGTGGAATTTGGTTGAAAGACAAAACTTCAGATTTGTTGTGTCTCTAAACTACAGAAAAAAATGTTTCTTATTTTCCCTGCCACATATACACGCTCAAACTGGCAACCCTGTAGGGGAGACTTCCTCTAAAAATTGGCAACGTTTGTGCTTTTGTGGATAAAAAAAAACTGAAAACTTAATAAAAACCCACACAATACTTACAAATTTCCGACAATAAATAAATCACGGCGAGATCAAATCATAAATTAGATCCTTAAATCGCGCGTTTTTAGAAAGCAACATGCTGCATAAACACTCACCGGTGGTTTGCGTATTTTTCTCCGCGTTCTCCGCTTACGAAACAAATGCAGCAACGATCATCATCATGAAGCATCTACTACACAAACACAGAGGAACTAAAGTTTTGGGCCACTCCTTCATGGCAGAAAACACACAACTTCTCCCCACTGTTTCCGCCCAGCGCGTGCAGCCTCTGCAACCCCATCATATTCACTGGAATAACATTCAAAGCTTATCGCTTTAATACTGCATGCAACAATTCAGTACGTCTCAGCAGTATCACATCTCTTTGGATGAGGGAAGTACAGCTCAATGTTTGAAATAAAACGTGAGATCTTGAAATTCGTGTCTTTACCCAGTTTTTCTTCCTCCACCAACAGTCTCTCTTCGTTCCCTTTATCCGGGACATTCGTCTGTGATGCAACGTTTCCAGATGTGTGCGACTGCCTCGAGCTGAGCGCAAACAAACATCTGTCAAACTCTGTAGAGTAGACAGTGTGTAATAAAAAAGCTGAGCTCTGTGTGAATGTGGAAGTAACAGACATGTCAATCAGATTAAAATCAAAATAGATAAACACTAAATGTACTTATTTTAAATAGGACTTTAAGATCAATTGTATAGGGTTTTTTTTGTGGGGGATTTATGCAATATTTTTGTCCTTTGCTTTGTCTATAGACAATTTTCTACCCTGTGGAGATAGACAATAAAGTTTTTTAATTTGAAAAATTTGATTTCTGGTCACTGTGAGAGAAACCCCCCCAAAAACTCTGTTTTAGAGAAGTTTATGATGCATTCAAAGACAAATGTTAAATTTTTCAATCAGGCCTGTATGCATAATCAAAAACATTTTCAAACTAAAAAGAAACGTATAATAATCAGACCAAATAAAAACAGCAATATCATCAACCATTTGTTTGCTACTTAGGTTTAGATTTTTTTTAATGTGCAGTTATATACACTCAAAAACAGTTTATTCATCCGTGACCCTCTTTAAATATCAAGCCATTCAAGTACATTGGTTACCACGGAAAACACAAACCAAGAAAAATAAAAACATTTGAAACAAATCTAACATACAAAATAAACAAAATAAAATATAATACACTCCTTCGTAAAATAAATGCCACGCGTTCTCATGTTTCTCTGCTTCTGTGCTTAATTTTGTCAAGATAAATATGAACACAGTGTACTGACATTCTGAGGGAAGGAGCAACTGTTATAACAGATATACTTTAAATAAAGAGAAACAAGTGGTGTGTGTGTTTTATTTTCCAGTTGTTGTCTAAGCACACTGTTCCAAGCAGCCTCTTTGCTACAGCTCAGCAGAGAGTCGAGTCACTCCAGTCCCTGGCTTCAGTTGGGCCTTTGGACTCTCACAGCATGCTGAGCTCAATCAGGCGTCCGGCAAACACCCCTAAAGTGCCAATAATACACACCGCCATGAACACACAGAGAAGAATGTGATCCAGGACCATAGCGACAAACTTCCATTCCTCTGCGGCCTAAATGAACAGACAGAATGAAAGACAAAGTAGTCAGATGAAGAGGAAGGTAAAGTACTTTACAACTTCTGTTCAAAGAATTGCAAAAGTGCCTGGAAGAACAAAAGTTGTGAAAGCTAGGAGGTAAAATGAAGGAGAAAGAAAGCATTATGGATAAGTAAAGCATAAAATGGAGATAAATTCTCACGTTGTTGGACTCCTCGTCGCTTTTCATGGTGTCTGCGATGTATTTAACACCCTCGATGGCACTACGTACATCAGGATTTTTGGTTATGGGAGAGTGGTAAGTGACAGAGGCTGGCATGGGTTTCCCTGAGATGTCAGAGATGTCAAAATCGGCAGGAAAGATATGCTTTTCCTGTCGTTCCTGGGATGGTCGCTTCATGGTGGAGAAAAACATCAGGTTTGGAATGGTGTCTATGAAGATCTGTAAAACAGAAGCATCCCTGATCAAAATATAAACAGGTTTATCAATAGCTCAAAGTAGGCAAAAATTCCCACAAATATATGTAAAGTTTAGAAACAAGTAAAAATTGTACTTCAGCAGCAGCACCAAATGAGACTGCAAAAATAATGACTCTCAACTCATGCCTCTGGTGGAGAGTCGACAAATTTAAACCAACTGGATTTTGAATGTAACTTCCAAAAAAGTACCTTTGTTCATTAAGTTATACTAAGTAAATAGTAAAAAAGTAAGTTCAAGTATATTTTCCAAGTATACTTATGTAATAGGTATAATAAAATCAATGTACTAGAAGTATACTTGTAAATGTACTATTTCAATACATTTTGGGACTTAATTGGCCCATATTTTAGATTAAGACATTAAACAGTTAAGTGTACTTTAAGTGTAACAGTAGTACATTTTGAGTACACAATTAGTTTGCATCAAAGTTTTTCTTTCTTTTCCAACTATACTGTGAACTATACTACATGTGAACTTAATGATATAATGTTTTAGCTTATAAAGTTACTGTATACTAGATCAGGGGTGTCCTCAGTCCTGGAAAGTTTAGCTCCAACCACAATTAAACACCTCAACCAGCTAATCAAGGTCTCACTAGGCGTACTAGTCTGCGTTTAACTCCACCTTTAGACATACACTCGCAAACTTCCCTAAGCACTTCCCCTAGAGGGAATCCCCAGCACCATTTTGAAGCACGTTCAACTTCGTCAAGTGGACGAGGGAAGTTTATTTGGCCAGACTCTTGAAACCTCGATTTTGAAAGAGGGAGCGAGTCTACTCAACATGTACACTTCAGGCAGATCTATAGACCACAATGCACCATGATTGTGACGTCACAGCAGATCGCTCTTAATTTACCCCACCCAACACAACTGTAGTGTATGATATTGGCGTTATTTTGACATACGTACCTTGCGGACCCAGGCAGGCATGGTGTGTGTGCTGGGGGAGCGGTGGTGTGTGTTGATGACAATCACAGTGATGATGATAGAAGCAATGACAAAGATCATGGTGAAGAGCATGTATTTGCCGATGAGTGGGACGGCGCTGGACGTGGAGGGGATCAACTCAACAATCACCAGCAAGAACACAGTCAGAGAAAGCAGGACAGAGATGCTGAGGGTCATCTTCTCACCTGCACGCAACACAAGACAAGACAGAAACTAGTGAAGTTCAAAATGTCCATCAAGCTCTAAGTACCTGTCATTTGTAATATACTTAACAAGGACCAGTCATGTTTTTTAAATTTTCAACTTTCTTTAGTGTGTAATGTTGCTGTTTGAGCATGAAAAAGGTCTGCAAAGTTACGACACAAATTCCACTCCAGCGGGAGTTATTCTCTATATCAGTGTGCACTGTTTTTGAACTCCCTGAAACGCCTTGATTGTAATTTTGCGTTTTCGTCAGGGAACGTACACGTCACAATTTTTAAATAATTCCCGGCCAAGGCATACTCAAAAAAAGGGGCGAGGCCTGGTTGAGTTGAGTTGCGTAGTGTGGAAAAAAGCGATTAATGGTAAGGGGCATGACATTTCCGAAACACGCTCAAAGTGGTTGACCAATCACAACACACTTGTCCAGGTGACCAATCAGAGCACATTGCACTTTTCAGAAGGAGGGGCTTCATAGAGACAGGAACTAAACAGAGTGTTACTGACAGACTTGGAAAAGAGGTGCTGCATTAATGTAAAATATGTGAAAAATAATGTCTTTTGAACAATTAACCATGAAAACCTATTCTAGCAGACCCTAAAATCAAGCCTTTGTAAAAGGGCATAATATGGCCTCCTTAATTCATTGGATTATTAAAAAAATAGGCATTACCCCATGGTTATTTATATATTTAAATATATTTCCAGCAAAAATAATTCAAGTTAATATGATATAATGAATTAAAAATAAACCATGATATAAGATTTTGGTCATACTGCACACCCCAGCACACATGTACACTCACAAAAACACACAGTGGGTTACCAGAGTCTGTGGGCAGGTAGAACACAAGCCCAGTGAGGAAGGAGAACAGCATGCAGGGGATGATGACGTTCACGATGAAGTAGAGCGGGAGGCGGAGCAGGAGGAAGTGATAAGTGATGTCGAGGTAGGGTGTATCTGGACAGCAAGAATAATACACCCAGTGTTTCCAGTTCCTGTAATCCTTCATCACCCACTCCCCGCTCTCCATGAAATTACTGAGGTCTGGTCTGTCGCTGTCCTTACACATACACAAAAAGATGCATTAATATCCTGGTTCATACAATAAGCAATGTACAGTCATTTATCCAGCTTATTTTGCAGTGCGGAAGCAAGCTATTTTCTGTGAATGTGCGAGACTTCCTATTCATTAGCCACTAACTAGAAGAATAACAAAGTGCACAGTAAAACAATTTGCAGTACAAGCCAGTGTGTTTATGATTATGATAATCAATTAAAATAATATTATAACAAATACCAGTTTGCAAGCAGCATAACAGACTGATTTTGTACCAGTAAAACAACTGGAAGTGAATGTCACCAGAGGCCTTACACATTTAAGTTACATATGGCCGTACCTGCGCTTGCATTAAAAACAAGATGGATACTACATCCTGATGGTCATGATTGGTGATCATGTGTGTGTTATAGTTACTGGGTTGATGATGACAAGGTTGCCATCATAGGTCCACGTTCCAAGTTTCATGCTGCAGTTCTGCAGGTCGAAGGGAAAGTGAAGGACCACGATCTCACAGTAGCTCTTAAAGATTGCTGGTGGAGTCCATGTTATCATACCCGTGTGCTCCAACATGACCTTTGTCTCATGGACAATGGCAAAGTCTCCATCAGCACTGCACATACACAAATAAAGAAATATATCAGACCAGGTATATGCACATTTCAATTAATTTATTTTACCTGATAGACTCACACTAACATAAATACATGCAATGGGTGAAAGCCAACTGGACAAAGTGACTCATACTTGTTATAAAGCACTAAATCGGGTTTCCAGATGTCAGTGGAGGGAATTCTGATCTTCCTGATGCCACCGTAGTCATCAGGATTCCACTGCAGATTCACATCCTTCCATTGCTGAACATGAGAAAAGGAGAACAAGATTGATACCCGTGTATTGACTCCTGGCTATCCACATGGGTTATGTAATTTTAAAAGTCAGCATGAAACAGAAGTTGCAATCATATTCTTCCCTATTCTGACATGAGGGCACATGATTTTTCTAAAAGAAATAATGGTGTGCATAGATAAATCATTTATAATAAACACTGCAATATTCCATTAAAAAAAGAATTGTGTATTTTGATCTTAGGGTAATTTTATGGCAGGCAGCATGTTGTACTGCCTTTTATCCTTTCAAAATTAACTTAGTTTAATTAAATCAAAATAAATCGTTGCAAAATGTAATTAGAATCATCATTAAAAAGAAAGACAATACCAGCCACGTAAAGAGATCAATCTTAAAGAGATTTAGTGGTTTTAACATAAAAATAACGGGGTTTTCTTCATGCAAAATATGATTTCTAATTTGTTTCTTCTAATTTGAAGTTGAAATGTGACCTGGGCATTTCTTGACTGGTTTCAAGTGAACCAAGTATTTGACACATAGTACAGAATGTACAGAAGTAAACATTTTGATATCTACTTTGATAGCAGCACACAGGAAACAGCAGCTCAAACCCACACCTGCTTTAGCCGTACATTACTGGAGACAATCTGATTAACTTCATCCTGTAAAATATGGAGGGTGAGAAAAAAAGAAAAAGTATAGGGTTTTGCAACGTAAACTTTTAATCATAATAATAAAACTTTAATCATAATACAAGAAATAAAAATGAACAGAAATATAATTTACCACGCTGATAAGCTGAATGAGTTGTAGTCCAACAGTAACCACTACTGGATCCTTAAAATGGCTGACAGGACGAACAACCTTGTTATATCCGGTAAACAGAGTCTTTACTAATCTTGTCTCATCTTCCGAGCACAGTGCTGGTTCTGCAACACAAGCACACACACTACTTCGAAGTTCTGTGAGAATAAGTTATCACCCTACTCTTCTTACTCACAAACAAACACACACACACACACACACACACACACACACACACACACACCCTAAACAGCACACAGGATTAAAGTTGAAGGACTCAAGCAACTGCATATGACGTACACACACACACACGTTGTGTTTTCATGTTTTTGGGGACTCAATAGACATAATGATTTTTATACTGTACAAACTGTATATTCTGTCCCCTAATCCTTACCCTACCTATCACAGAAAACTTTCTGCATTTTTACATTTTCAAAAAAAAAGAAGAAAAAAGTATGATTTATAAGCTGTTTTCCTCATGGGGACCAAAAAATTTCCACACAAGGTCCGGACAAGGCTTTCAAATATTGCCATCTTTGTGGGGACATCTAGTCCCCAAGGGTTTACCAGGCCACCCCCACACACACACAGGGACACACTGATGTCTGAGTAATGTGGTGACTATTCTTTTATAACCAGAACTAACGGAAGTAATTCAGAAATTCTGCAGGCAAATAAGCAATTTATTCAGATAACTGGGTATCACTGGTTTGTTGAATTTATGATGTTTTGTTTCTTATACATCTCTGAGCCATTTTTGGGAGAAATAATTAAGTAAAAAATTTCCAACATTTCCATATAATTTAATTAGAAAATGTGACCATTTCTTTTGCAATATTTGATTGATTTGCATTGTTTTACAAATATGCATATTAGAAGTGTACAGTCAGGTAAACGAGTGAGCGTTTGGGTCCACATGTACATTTACAGTATTTCAGATACAAACATCAAACAAGGAGCTTTTCCGGTTTAAGTTTAGGCCAGTATCACTTCGCCCTGATGAGCAGAGCCTTGACTTCAGCCTCAGCTAAGAGATTAAGCATAAAAGAAACAGAAAATGTAAAGAGAGAGAGACGAGATGCTAATATTTGTTAGCAAATAGCACAAAATTGCCCTCTGACACACTGATCTCATATCACCCACAAACCACCTGAATGACGCCGGCAGGCCGCGCACTTGCACCTGTCAATCAAACGGGACGCATTGTATGCATACCATACAAAGAAGCATAGAAAACTGTTAGAAGTGTTTAAAAACTAAATCATTTTAACATATCGCTATGGAAATGAACCTGTATCGGTTTCCAACAAAAGCTTGGGTGAAATAGCTAAACGATTATATCCCCTTTCGTAGTCGCCATAGGTTATTTCTAAGTAGGCCTACACTATTCTTCTCCATAATAGCATATATAGAGCTAAACGAAAGCCTTTATCAATGTATTATAACTTATGGACATTTTAAATACTTTGTCGTCTTTTTAAAAGGGCAGATTCCCCATACAAGAATCTAAAAAAAAAAAAAAAGGTTACTCACCAAATAGAAGAGGCAAAAATGGCAAAATCAGTATAAAGTTATTCATCTCCTTATTATGAGAAAGTCCGTGTAAGTTAGTCGTCTGAAGGAAATAATCTATAAGAGCACAGCTAGTTGTCTGTGCGTCCTGACTGTAGCTCAGCACTGCGTGTGTGAGTTGCACTATTGTTAAACACGCATGTGGCGCGCGCTGGCAGCTGTCAGAGTCAGCGCGAGACAAACATTGCTGCACGTGCGTGCTTGGTTTAAACTTAAAGCGCTAGCGTTTACGGTTTCAAATAACTATCAAATGTCTTAAAATGTAACCATTTCAGTTCATCTAAACCGATTGTTGTCACCGTTATAATAATTAAAAAACCTAAAATACGTCCCGTCGCCCCCTTCCAGTAGCAACAAATTAAGTGATAAATTATTGTAGAATATGTGAAGCAAAATTTACTGATGCTTTTGTAGATTTCTGTGCATTGATTCTATATATTCAGAAACCTAATCATTGCACAATAATGTTCAATATTGATACATCATACAAGTACATTTTATAACCTAAATGAAACAAAAATAAACTAAATAAAGTTGAAGGATTATCATTTAGATTTCTGGTAAACCAAGTAATGTGTAAGCTCTGAGCCATTCTGTAACAAATTATGGCACTATAAATGGTTGACATGAATTATTGAAATAATTCAAAGTAACCCCTTTTAAAACACTCCCCAAATAGCTTGAAATCTGCAAAGGACATGCGTCTTCTTTGATACCAGATTCCAACACAAAAAAAGTGCATTCCAATATTTTAAATAGTGAAATACATGTATTTATTCTGTATTTGGATACATTTTTACAATACATGTTTTATCTTTTCAGCCTTCAACAAAACTTGGAAAATGTACAATTTTATGACACCAACACAGAACTCTTTTGGTAGCCAGTGTAAAACACGTCGTCACAGCTGTGGGAAGAGGTGGACGGAGCAGTATTTACATGGCAAACAGAATGAGGAAAGCCACCATCAAACAGAAGAGACCCATAGCCTCAGACAGGGCAAATCCCAAGATAGCATATGAGAACAACTGCTGCTTCAGAGATGGGTTCCTGTAGGAGAGAAGGAGAGGTCATGGGTCACTTATCACCAGATCTCTGTAATGAAGTTGCCTTTAGGTCATGGACAAAAGACATCGGCTCCCAACAGTGTGATGCATGACAGCAGGGCCGCATTAAGAGCTCACTGGGCCCCGGGGCTATGAGCTCTGCAGGCCCCCCCCCCCCCCCCCCCCCCCCCCCCCCACCACCACTTTAGGTCACCAACTACATGAGCTAAATGTTCTATCATTATACGAGTCATTTTATTCATCTATGATATACTTCACAGTTAAGTTACATTACTTTTAATACGATTTTTTATCATATCAAAATTTTATGCCACTCAAATTTCATAATTCTTGTGACCAATTTCAATATCACAAAAAATAATAGTAGCTTAAGAAAAGAATCTCAAGCTTACTGATGACAAGAGTCACAAATAACAATAGAACAAAGGCACATAAGAAATCGACCTACTTGAAAAACTTAAAGCACTGAATAATATTATATTGTATAAAGTAATCAAATAAATAATACATAGTTTTCACTATAAATTCAACATTCATTCTTATTAATTTTACAAAAGTGATTCAGTCAAGGGCAGTAAATAACTTTATTTCTAATGTTTGATTAACATTATTGCACAAATGGCGACAGCAGCTTTATTAGCAGCTACTGTCACTTTAAGACCTCAGGGTCGGAACTCAAGTGCGCTGTGCAAAACCGTCTCAAGTTCACCATGGTCTCAAAACCAAAATGAATTCTCTCCCGCTGCTTACTGTGCCTGAGCAGTTTAAAATAATTTGTATCCAAACCACAATGTTTAAAAACGCGTTTAAATTATAAACTTGTATCATGATGGCGCAGGAAAATGTACATATTTCTACCGGATATATTATCGCCAGCCCTTTAGGCGAAAATAAAGTTTGATCAAACACAAAAAGCATCATACATCCATCAAGTTAATAATCAAACTTACCGAAAATTTTTGGGGTCGATGATGACGCATGTGTTTTAAGAATAGAATGAAGTGAAGAGTGGATGCGATTGATTGGTTGATGCGTATATTCTAATAAGGCGCAGGCAGCCATCTATAGGCCTACGTGCAGCAGCAGGTAGATCGTTCACAAGTTAAATATATAATAAATGTATTTGTTATATCAAATTAAAACGTGACGTTTCAATTCACCATTCCTTGCTGCCCACGGGGGTTTGATTGACAGGCGAACTGGCAGGGTCGGCGCCACGAGGGGGCCCCAGGGGGCCTGGCCCGGCCACCTCGGTCACTGTGCCCCCTCACCTCTGGTCAGTACATCACCCTGCCTCGGAAAGCGATTTCAGCCGCTGAGACTCAGCAACAGGCACACTACCACTGTGCCCTCTTATGACATAGGCTATAATTAACTTAACTACACATTTATATAGAGAGGCCTATATAGAAAAAACTATTTTGTAAATTAATTTAGTTTTACCTTGATTAAATCAGCTTTGCAACTTTGCATTTGCGACAGGCGATTAACTAAATTACGTCACTAGCAGCTGAAGAAAATACGCAACGAATGAAAAGACCTCGTTCTGAGAAAGTTTAACACTTCCACTCGTCGACTGCAGCTTTTCTAAAGGGATGTGTTTTTGCTTTTTTGTCTTTGTTACTAATATGATTGATTATATAGCCAGTCAGGGGTGGCGCCAGAGAATTTTTAACGCAGTTGCTGAGGGGGTGCTAGATCATTGACAAGGGGAGCTGCGCAATTATATATTATATATTTATACTATTAATAAATGAGCAAAACTTGGCCACTCAATATTTAATATTCAATTATTTTAATTTTCACAATTAAAGTTTTCATTTTACTAAATTGAACAAGCACAACATTCAGCATTCAATCAAATATGCTTAAAGATTTATTATTAATAATGTTATTTCAACATAATATCTCCTTATTTCGACATAATATGTGTGCGTGCATAAAGCAAGATGCTTGCAAATCCGGTGACAGGTGATTTTTATTAATAAAATATTTTTTTTCTGTGTCAGCTGCAAGATGAGGTTGACGATCACCATCTCCGTGAACGCGCCTATTCACATATTGGATTACATAACCAGGGAGTAACCTAGGCTATTTCTTTTCGTTTTGAATTGTTTCGTTTAAAGACACTTCAAGCTTTATATATTTCTCATCTGTGAGGCATATGCTGAGTTTTGGTTAATTTATGATGAGATGCGCTCCAGTTCACGTGCAATGCAAGTGATCGCGCAGGCGCCTCCATGTCATGATTATATTGTATGCTATATTTGCTATCCAGGCAATTGGTTGATGAAAAATGTATTAAAATTAAGATACAATTTATACAAAACGAAATTCACTTTAAAGAAAGGCTCTCTACAAAACAAAACGTACATTGCCTCTTACATTGAGTGGGTCAAAATCATTTCTGACCCACTCAATGTCTCCCGATATATACATCCTATCTTACTCATGCTGTTAACTTTTCATAATCAACAAAAATGGGAAAATATTCCATACAATAAAATATAATAAAATATATATAAATAATATTGTAACAAATATAAAACTAAATGCGCTTATTTAATGGCTACAACACGTATAGTAGGCCTATTTGTACGAATTCCTGCACATTAATTTAATTCTGAATTTTGCACTCGTAAGTTGAAAGGCATTTTTGTGTGTATAGTAACACATATCTGCAACATTTATCAAGTTCACGGATATTGTGCATGCATTTATTAATCATTATGATACTAAAATCATAATAAAGTGCTGTACTATGTGCAAAAAAATCAGATCATAAACCAAGAATATTGACGCAACGCGTTTAATTACATAAAGCATTTTCCTCCCAGGAAAACCATTATAAGAACGCTTGGTTTAATGCAGATTAGAATGTCCCAGCCAGCAGTTGTTCTGTCGAAATAACGAGATACGATGTCGAAATAACAGATAGGCCTAGGCTATTATGCCGAAATAATATTATGTTGAGTGGCTCTGTATCGTCGCGTCGGGTATGGTGGCATGATGGGGTTGTTGTTTTTTAATTAAACGTGTGTGTATTGTTATTATTATTATTATTTTTGAGGGTGGGAGAGGTAGGCCCCCCCAGTGACACATCGAAGCCCCCTCGTTCCGTATGTCCTGGCGCCGACCCTGCGAACTGGCCAATCATAACGCCGAATACGCAATTTTGTCCGACAACAAAGCTGTCAGTAGATTAACGTCGGTGGACTTGAACTTGAAAACGGTAATGTTTAAATGACAATATTTGAAAGTTGAGACTTTGTTTCATATCAACAGTAAGCTGCTCTGATCTTTCTCTCTCGTAGTCACTCGGTGTAACGTTAGTCTTTGCCACGCGATGTATTTTTCACTGCGTGAGTGAGAACATGATATGCGTGACTCGTGAGAGCCGCCTGGCGTGTCACACAGTAACTAAAAAAGGCGGGTCTTTGCGAACGGTCACTATAATATTAATGATAATGATTCCATGATAATGCATGGAATATACGGCAAAGCACCACTAAATAACAGGGCTAATTTGTGGGGGGCGTTGCGTGGTAAGGCTTTGGCAATCAGATGGCTAGTATCTACTCCACAGCCAATCACGGGCCCCCTCCTTGCTCGGGCCCCGGGGCTTTAGCCCCGCCTAGCCCTATTGTTAATGCGGCCGTGCATGACAGATGAGTTTGCTCAAACTCAATATTTTACACAATTCTACACTTACATTGCTGCAATAGCCAAGCTCAGTTCTTAATTAAAGTTTAAAATATAACTGAAAATGTAACTATGAAATAAATATTTTGGAAAAAATACCAAATTTGGTTTACATTGGACCACCATCAGTACTGCCATATCCAGAAGCAGTCATTTGGTTTCTGATATGGCAGCTGATGGCAAAAAGAGGGTAAGCATTAAGGGGTAATTTCAGTGGTTTGTGTTGGTCTAGTCTACCTGGCATATCCAATAATGAGACTGCCGAACACTGTTCCGATTCCAGCTCCTGAACCTGCCACTCCCACAGTGGCGGCACCAGCACCAATGAACTTGGCGGCTGTGTCGATGTCACGGCTTATGGCGCTTGTCTGAAAACCCCGCACTGCAACCTGGGAAACGGCGGTCTGTGGCAGGAAGGCTGGGCTGGCCTTTAAAATAAGGCACAATAATCAAAATGAATGAACTGCAACAACCATCCCTCGACAGAAAAATAAATCTCTTTGCAGATAAATTAAAAATGACATTATGCAACAGTTTTATAATGCAAGCAAGTTCACATAAGGAAGGAATGTATCTTAAGGTGCCATATGAAATCCTAGCATAGGGAAAATACTTTACAGGGAAAACAAGAATAGCATTTCTTTCAATACTAAGTTTCAAAACAGCTTTAAAGAAAATGCATATTTCATTCTTGTGTTCAAAAGAACACTTAATGGCGATTTAGAACAGGAAGTGCCACTGATGTTAAACATCTGCAAATACATAAAGCGCTCACCTCTGCAGAGCTGACATCTGGCCTGGAGAGCACAGAGGCAGAGAGGGGTCTGTACAGCGCCCTTGAGCCAGAGCGGACCTGAGACACGGATCAGGAAAGGCATTAGCACGCAAGACATAAGATTACATTCATTAGGAGTGCTGTACTTCAGATTGACACACAGGACTGTTGCTTCAGCACTTGAATGGAGTGGGAGGGACCATGTCGAGGAAAGTACATTTAATATGTGCAACAATTACAAATTATACATGAGAGATTGTGATTGTGACTGGCAAATGTCAATTGAACAAAACACTACATTTATATTTAAAGGAAAAAAAGATGCGGCAAGTCCAGTGCAAAAGGGAAGCAACAAACCAGGACATAACCAATGCAGCCTTGATTAAAATCAACCAACACTACTATTTTTACCCTTTACCTCTAATGCAATACATTTAAACGAGTTGTTTCACATTTCAGTTGTCCATGAAACATGGACAGGCATACTGTCAGATTGTTATAATGACCTTGACTTCGCAGGAATCGCAGTTCAGATGATAGCATTAGCAACACAACAGCTATCATCTGCCCATTGACATATTAGCCACAATGACATACAGAAACACGAATTTTGCAGAAGCAATTTTTTTTATTTAGATGCAAATAACGCATGTCAAATGGACAGAGTTAAGTGCACCAGGCCTCTGGCATAATTCTCTGACCATATCCATTGTATTGCAGCTTCAAAAAATCATCATAAATACTCACCAGTGCGGGTGTGGACACGAACTTTGCACAGGCGTACATGTTTGATTGAGCTCGCTGACTGTGGTGAAGAATAAACCCGCGTCTGTCTCTATGGGAAAAGACGACAGTTTAAGGTCAATGCAATATCAGCGCTTTTAAAAAGCTACCAGGCACAAAATAGCTGCTTTTGCAAGGGTAGTATATTCAGTAGACCGTGAAATAGATCAAATGATTTGAAAAAATACATCTAAAGCGCAATGATGGTATACGATTGTGACAATTTAGCTTCGCCGGTTCCCATTTAGCTCTCCTTCACTTACCCGGCTGCAGAGGTCGAACCGCTGAGGAGCTACTGCGCATGCCCGACCCTCTATTTAATGAAGCGCCCGGATGCATGAATGACGCGTTTGAAGGTCATTCAATGGTGCTTTATTTAAAACTGCACTGAGGCCAAAGAAAACATTAAACTCTTATTTACTGCCCTTTTACTCTTCTAACAGACAGTAACAATATGTATAAGAGAAATGAGTGAGCTAGAGGAGTGTATTAAAATAAGGTGAAAGTAAATTGATATAGCACACAGACAACGTTTGTAAATAAAATATAAACAATTAGGCTAATAACACTCAGTACTGGTCATTATTCTCATACTTGCTAATAGGCTACTTAGGATACACAAGAAAATTATACAAAAGATGACTAGGATCATGAGAAAATTTCTAGTTTTCTACATATATTTTATGACAAAATACAGCTTGTTTTGGGGGGTTGTCATATTCCGTTGCTAAGGGCACATAAAAAAGGAACTGTTGTATAAAAAACTGAATCTACTCTAAAATTATTGATCTATAGTTAATTATGCATGAAATATTTGCTGAGGCACAGGTCTCAGAAACATTCATGTCTAACTTAGCCTTTCCATATTGTGCTTTTTAGTTTCTAAAACATTAATTTGGTAGACTCCAATTTGCTGTCTAGAGAAAAACCTCAATTTCATGATAATGTTTAAAGAATCATGCTTTAGATAAGAAACATTTATTGGCATGTACAGACTGTAAAAGCAGCAGACATGTGCAAGTATTGACAAACAAGTACAAACTAATAATTCCAGTTTTAAAGCACATACATATTATGTGTTGCTGTTGAGATAAGAATCAATTCATCATGAACATGACAACGAAATAACTAATGCAGAATTTAGAGGGACAATAGTTGATAACTACCAAACTATCATTCTCATCCGATTTTTTATTCATGAATACATTTTAGTGTCACTTCTGGCATCATTTGACTTGTAAAGCGTAAACATCAATGCAGATAACATCCTATGTATGGACACCAATTACAGATTTTGCTATCTTGTAAACTGTGCAGTAAGTCACATATTCTTAACCAGAAAGGCACAAAACAGTTGAATTATTCACAAATAGGTAAACAAACCATTGGCCAGAAAAACACAAGCAATTAAAACAACTCAAAATAAAAGAAATAAATATTTAAAAATCAAAATAGTGCATTTAACATCAAACAAACAAAAAAAAAGAAAAGAAAAAAGCATCACTTCTCTAGAAGAACAACGCTTTTGATAGAGTGTATTTTTGTTCAGCTCTCACTTTGCAGGTTTCAAATAATTCTGTAAACACAATGATAGCTAAACTCATTGCTATGATAGCTAAACATTTCTTGCTACCCACTTTTGTCCTTATTTACTATGCAATATTAAATGTTAACACTGTAAAATTATTCTAGGCTTCAACACTTTAGCAACTGCAGTTTGTTTTGTTATGTCAACCTCATAAACAAACCATGCACAGGAATTGCACCGGGAGACATCACCACTATGGGCCGCACCACACCATTAGTATTACAAATTGTAATGTGATTAGCCCATTATATGTGAATGATGTGGTGCATATAAATAAATCAGCAGTAAAACTCTTTAACAGCCTTAAGAATTACTAAGATGTACTAAAGGAACATGCTGTAGAGAGAAGTTAAAACAAAACATGCCAAAAACCAAAAGCTCTTGTGAACAGTGTTGATCATAAACATGTTTAAACTGCATTCGAACAGTTTAGTTTGATTCATCCTCTTTCTGCTGTTCCCCCTGAGCTCCAGCTTCCTCCGGTGGGACTTCCTTTGAGGGGGACGGGCTACGTCGAGGCTGAGACACCTCTGCCTCGGTTTCATGTGCGACAGGGGGATCTTCAGCGGTGGGGTCCTGAGGGTCAGCAGATGTAGTTCTTTCCACGTCATCTGTAAAAATTAAATGATGAAATAAAATAATTGGCACTGGGGACGAGTAAGAGCCATGGCACTGTTGTGGGTGTGTAAGAAAGTATGCGTATTAGGCCTGTTAATGCATCAAAAAATAAGATTATAATTTGTAGCATTGTTCATTCAGTATGATAATACATGTTTAAAAGAAGCACAATATGCATTATCTAAACTGTAAATAAGCTAATTATTAATCATACAAAAAACTATTTTTTTTAAAGAAAAGTATTCAGCATTTTAGACATTCAGTCTCTAAGCATCTTCCCATCTTGCTAAATTTAATATTAACATTGCAGATAACTGTTGCTCCACAAAAAACAAAACAAACAAAAAACATCTTTTTGATTGCTATTTGTATATATATATATATATATATATATACAAAAACATCTATATGAATATAGAGGAAAAAATAGCTGAATGTTAAATGCAGAATGTTTTCATTAAGACAGATATATAAAAAAAAAACATATTAGAAGACATTTTTCATTTATACGATTTACAGCCATTTACAAACACACCTTCTCGTCTTGTAATGGTGACAGTCATTATTGTGTTGTGTGATTGTGTATGAGAGGGAATAGGAAATGATTGCAATCATGATATGTTACCCATAGTAACTGAAAAGAGCAGAGAATACTTTAGCACCAAAGCATCATGCAGTGCATAAACTACTGGTCAAAAGATTAGGGCAAGTAAGATTTTTATTTTTTAATTCAATTGATATTTTTATTCAGCAAGGACACATTAAATTGATCAAAAGTGACAGTAAAGATATTTATAATGTTACAAAACAAATCTATATCAAATAAACTTTATTTTTAGTTTTTTTTTTTATTCATAAAAAAACCATAAAAAACAATGGTTTAAATTACATTTTAAAATATATTTAAAAGAAAACAGCCATTTTAAATTGTAATAATATTTCTAAATATTACTGTTTTACTGTATTTTTAATCAAATAAATGCAGCCATAGTGAGCATAAGACACTTTCAAAAACAATAGAAAAATCACACCGACCCCAAACTTTTGAATGGTAGTGTGTGTAAGTAAAGTGAGTCTGTGCGTAGGTTCTGGGACCTGAGTGAATTCTCTTGAAACTATGAACTTTACTCCAGGGGGTGCCAGAGTGTGAAACCCGAGAGGAGCGGGCCGAGACAATATGGTCTAAAAACACATAAATAAAATACAACATAGATTCATACATACACTAACATACAAATGATAAATGTAAATGATTTCAAAACTACATGCATGGACTTCCAAAGTTGTTTGCTCTCCTCTTGGAGGCCTTCCAGTTGCAGTTTTAAGACTGATTGAAAAATGACATGACAAGATGACAATGACTTTATGAGGTCATCATAATGATGCCACTGCATGAAATACCTTCAGGGACGTCACTGTCCTCTGGTGTCTCGGTGGCGGCAGAAGATTGTGTTTCAGGAGATTCAGAGCGAAGTCTGCGCTCAAAACTGAACTCTGGGAGTCTGGGTGCCTGGGGGCGTGTCTTTCTTGCCGGGTTCATGAAGTAGCAATAAGCACAACGGAATGCTGTAACATTAAACATCACACATGAGCATCCTGAGGCAAAAATCTGCATAGTTCCATAGTGTGCTCTGACAGTCTCTTACCTACATACTCAAATTCCTCCTTCAAAGCCATACCATTGTGGGAAAAACACTGCTGGCAAATCAATGCATATCTGAATGTATAAGAATAAATGGGGGGAAGGCAAGAGACAAATCATTCTCACATGTACTGACATAATTCTGGACTGTAGAGTGTTCAGTGTGTTTCTTGGAGAAGCCTGAAAGTCAAGCCGGTTGTATATTATTCCGGCCCAATACCTGTTCTGAGGTCCATCTCCCACCAAATACTCAATGACTCTGTCCACAGAGCTACGCTCTCGTGGAAGAATGGGTCGAGCGAGAGGTGGCCCAGGGGGATGCATACCTGAAATGATCAAGAACAATCAACATTTCATCAGTGCACAAATCGGGAAAATTATACGCCAGAACTTCAAAATAATGCAAATGACAAACTTCAAAATAATGCAAATGACATCAAATATGGCAAAGCAGTGAAAAGTCTATAATGTTCAGTCTCTAGCTAAAACTATGGATGTACAATATATAGATTATCGGCCTATATTACAGTTTGTAAAATTTATTTGGTAATATATGTCAATACTGAAAATTAAATTATGCATGCTCATTTCCCTGACTTTTTACATTTACTAACTTAAAATTAATCTAGAAAAATAATAATTTAATAGCATATCTCAAAACAAATATCCATTTTTCCTTTGTACCATTATGTAAAGGTATGTACTCTATGTTGTGATTCAATTATTTTATTTGTAGTATTTAAAATGATTGATTTTGTTCTGTTTTAACTTATTTGGTTAAAACTGTACTGTGTTTTAATATCAGCCATTTATAACGTATACTCTATGATAAAAGACACCAATGTTCATAAAACAGGTACATTAATTCAAGAATAAAAGAATATATGACATGAGCCATTTATTATAAAATTCAATTGATTTATGGTCACAGGATATATTATCTGCTATTTTATTAGAATTTCACATCTGTTTTACAACATTCATTTACTCATCCATGTGAGGACATGTAAGCAACACACGTATGAGTTTACTAAACCTGATCCAGGTCCTGGTGAATAAGGATTCATGTTCCTTCTCATCATTTGTTGTGGTGTTTCTGCCGGAGACCCAGCGAGCCCTTTCTCTGGAGGTCCTCCTGGGGCAGTACGATGTGGTGTGGCTCCTGGGGTCATGGGACCAGGTCCAGGAGTTGCCATGGCAACATGCCGCTGCCGTAGGTCTGTATATAATGAGAGTATAAAGTGCATTGTGCATACAGAAAACACAATAACTCAGTCAAAAAACAAAAGGAAATACAAACCTTGTCCTGGTCTAGGGGTCATGTGGGGTCTGACCGGAGTGGCTTCTGCTTCCTGTAAACACAAACCAAGCATTCATCTACCACAACTCATCTTAAATATGCTAGCTTCCAGCATAAATCCCTATTCCATCTGTTTGAAACCCTATTCAAGATTTGAAGGGATAGTTCACTGAAAAAAATGTAATTCTCTCATCATTTCATGCCATCCCGAAGATTTTTAGGAAAATAATTAATCTCTGTAATTAATAATTCATCTCTGAGTCCATAAATACCATTGAAAGAGTGCAGCTCGGTCGATGCTTGAAAAGCCATACACAGCGATCATGGCGGTAAGTGTGTAAGAAAAATACTTTAAATCATAAATCTACTGGTCTACTATCTTACAAGCATTCACAAGGGATGTTGTGACGCATATTTTTCTTACACACACCTATCGTTTCACTTCAGAAGACATTGTTTCTGGGGTTGTATAGATTACCGTCACGATCGTTGTTTGTGGTTTTTCAAGCTTCAGCCAAGCGGCACCCATTCACTTGCATTATATGGACTCACAGAGACTGATTATTTTCATAAAAAGCTTTGTTTGTGTTTACCTGAAGAATGAAAGTTATATACATCAGGGATGACATGAGGGCGAGTAAAATGATTCATTTTTTGGGTGACCTATCCCTTTAATAGTACACATGACTGGACTTACTGCTTTCTTCTTAGATTCTGGGTCGAATCTCTCCAATATGAGCTTGGCATTTTTGTAGGTCTCCGTTTCCATCACCTCCTCAAGCTGACAAAAAGCAGAATTAATTTGTTTTATGGAACATACAGACAATTTTATTCATCATTCTGAAATATAAGAATCCACAAACAAGCTTAGCTCCTTAGAAAGCTTCTGTTCTCACTTACTATTTTTCGTTTCTTTGTTTTTAAATCATCTAGTTTTTCATCTGAAACAGAAAAAACAAACAAAAGACCAGTCAGTGAATTGATAAAATTACATCAAAATTGTTGGTGAAGACAATGAAGAAAAGATGAAGAAAAGAACATATAATAAGCTTACTGTTTCTCTCAGTGCGTTTGGAGAAAAGGAAGATGAGCAGTTTTCGTAGTAGTAACACTCTATGAAGAAACAGAAAAGGTCAAATTATGCAAGAGAACAAAACTACCTAAATAGTTGACAATACAATAACCTCCCTTACATAAACAACCTTTTAAAAAAAGGTATAATAAAATGCAATACATATAATACGTGTAATAAGTAGTAATGCATGCATAATTACATCAGCTGTACTAAAAATACTAGTAATACAATAAGCATGCTTAATACGATATATCATTGTCTGTCCAGTGTCCAGCAATAATACTTAGGACTCACAGTGCTGGAAATGCTAGCAGAGGCAGGGCAGTGATGATGCGAGCGCTCCACTGCTCAGGGAAGTACAGGTAATACACACACAGACATGTGATCAGGTACAAAGCAGATGAGTAGAAGAGAAGCCGGCCCACCCACAATTTCAGCAAGCGCTGGTTCTTTGTACGGAACTCCTCAAGGTCAGTTATGTCCTATGGATTCAAGTCATAACGCAATATTGTAAGTTAATTAGCAATGCCATTATGTTATATGTTGTAAAAATGCTTTGTAAGGTAACGTAGAATGCTTCATATGATCTCATTTAACCATATAAAGCCTACAGTATCATTTTTGATATGCATTTCTTATTATCATCATCATCAAAACTTTGTTGAAGAACCTGTTTTACACAATCTTCTACATGCCTTCTGTTGTCTAATTGATAGCTCATACTTGTTTAGAGAGCAAAAGGCCTTTTAGTATAATTGTAAAAATGTCCACATACAGGTCATGTACATGCATTATATGTTTTTAACTACAGAGCTTTGATCATAAAAGTAAGCATTTTTTTTATTAGGAGACATAGAGAGACAATATATGCGTTTCATGCAAGTAGTCACATTGATTTACTTTGAGGCCATATAAATATCAGCAACTGCACCAAATTGCATATTGTTGCTCAGTTTGGGCCTCTGAATGAAATGTGTTTTTTCCTTCTTGAGTACTATATGGGCCATAAATGCCTTTTGTACCAAATATGATACAAAACGCAAACTTTTTGTTTACATTTAATTTGATATTTTATCTAAATTTTCAATAAACTGTTCGATTTAAAAATATATAATATTTCATATATCAGGCTTGAGGATTTATCCAATTTTATTAAAGTGAAGTAAGTTAAATGTTTCCTGATATGTTGGCACGAGTAACCGATTTGTCGCAGTGTGCCATGTTACATCATGCCATTAAGAATCCTAAACACAACATAAATCTGTGAAACATTGACCCTGCTAAAGCAGAACCTGTGTGACTACTGAATGTCGGACATAAGCTCTGTTAGTTACAGTTGAAAGTTTGGGGTCAAATTAAACATAAAAGCCCTCTGGTATTGCAAAGTGTATTCCTATAGCTCACTCTAAACCAAAGCAGTGACCACTACAGGGCAGTTAAGGTCAACCGCAGCAATCCAGCGAACAGATGGTCCTGTCAATACAGTCTCCAGACAGATGGAGGCTTCGGGAGGAGAGCCAGGAATGAGTAAAGCAAGGAAATGCAGCCAGTAAAAGGGTTCAGACGATGACATCCAGCTCTGTGATGTGTGATAAGGTCACAATGGCTGAAAGAAGTCTCTGGGTTTGAAAGGGCAGGACAACAGTGCGGAACATACCTTATCCAGTGTCTCTAGAATATCCACAGTGGAAGTTTTAGTCTGTAAAAACATAACGATTAACTTACATTGTTTATTGAAAGGGTTTGATTAGGGGAAAATGGCAAAAAGAGTGAAATACACACCTTCCACCGTGAAATTACGGCTCCCATTGTCAGACCTGCAAATCCAGACCTTAAAGCAAACAAAAAACATCTAATAACGCTTACAACACATTCAAAAACCCTTCTAATAACGCTAACAACACATTCACTGCCTCTAATGCATCAATCTGGAAGCAGGTGCTTAGGAAACAATCCTGTCTTGGAATTGGGATCAGTCATCTAATCAACAACATGGGTTGGAAAGGCAAACGACCCTAAACGAATACCAGTATATTCACCTGACAAATAAGAAAACATTGCAACTCTTGTCTTATTATTGCAACGGTTATTACTACAACAACAGGGACTGACAGGCAGTAAACACCCACCTGCCCTGCCTTTTCACCAGCCTAAAACTGTTCTGAATCTAATTAGCTCAGTGGAAAACCGTAAGCAGTGTGATTTAAACATATTTTCATTATATTAATATTCGGTGGAGCATATTATAAGACAAACATTTGCAAGAGTTCACTCGTTAACTTCACTCGCCTTTCTACAGAGATGGGACGGAGGCTGAGCCTGTGCGTGTGCGCGTGACGGTGACGTTTTTAGAGGTTTTCGGAAGTTAATTTGATCCTTCAAAATAAAAGTCGCGTACATTTAAAAGCCTTGCACCAAAATTTCGCATCTAACCATGATTATTAAAATGAATTCTGCATTAAAAATGCAGTGACTGCATGGTTCAATCCTACGTCGAATTTAGTTAGAAGAAAATAATCACGAATTACAGTATAAAAATAATTATTGTTATTATCTTAATTATTATTAATTGATAATTATTTTTAAAAATAACAATGGAAAGAAGGAAGGTTATGAAATTAAGGAACGGTGGTACTTGGAAATATACAGTTTGTAAATATAAAAATAGGAATCGAGGGTGTTTTAGTTGCTAAATTGTATTGAGAACAGAATATGGTACGTTTACCATAGACTGTAAAAAAAGGTTTATACGCATATTTTAGAAGGATGAGCATCTATAAGACATTTGTGAGCTAATTGTAAACAACCTTTCACTTGTTTATAGGCTATATTCAGAGGAAACTGTTGAATATGTTAAGGTGAGGCATATAAATTAGCTATATCTTTTATGGTAGAAGAAATGCTGCTAAAACAACAACAACAACAATAAAAAAACCAAAAAGACCAGGAATATTTTAGCTCGCCAATTATTTTTAAACCCAGCAAAATAGGCCATATTTGAGCTAAAATGGGCCACTTCAGAAACTGACGTTTAGGATATATTTTGATGGTTAATTTATATTCTTCTATTCGGCATATCGAAAAGAATCTCAATTCAAATGTATCACATTTAGGCTGACTGCAATAGCCATAAATAGCCTACACAACCACCAGACACTCATGCTGATTTTATTACTGATGGAAGTGGGGGGTGAAATGTAATCACACGTAACATTACAATTTAAAATATATTTTAAGTTGTATACAGTAGCTAGCCTACGTTATGAATGCTGCATAAAACTGTTCTACCGAGCGACAGGCCTACACTGTCTCTCTAACACGTACACGCGCGCACACATCAAGGTAACAATGAATTTCAATATTAAAGTTAAATTTTATAGGCTATAATGTTACAAATTATTCTAATACATGCACAAATATTAATTCTCTCTCAACTCCCACCACGACACGCACACACATTTTAACACCTTTATCGTATTGCCATTTTTTTTTCTAAAGTCATGCTATAGGTCTAGGCCTAACTGAAATTGGCCGTGATTTTAATTAAAGTTGCAATTGTTTTAAAAAATATTTACAAGATAACAGGGTGAGATGCCCCGACCTCTCCTCAAGCCTGAAAAAAAAAAAACATTCGACAGCACCGTAGCTAAACAGGCGACATATAGCCTACGTTCCGTTTAATGATGAGCTGAAAATGACTTGAAAATATCTGTACAGACCCATTTTGGCTAAACATATGTTTTTGATAAAGTAGGACTTGGTCTTTTACATTTTTTCGTCATAAAAGTATAGGCCTATGCCCGAATTAACACGCAAAGAACTACCCCATAATGTGCAGAAATATAGCCCAAAGGCTCCAAAGGGAGGTTTTCACAGTAATGCCATTGAAGATCTATTTTTGTTCCCCAAACCTTTCAATGAACAGTTCTTAAAAGAACCATTTTCTAAGTGCGAAGAAAATTTTAATCATCTTAAGAAAAAAATTCCTTTATAAAGAACCTTTTGTCCAATATAAATTTCCATGGATGTTAAGGGTTCTTCGTGGAACCATCGATGCCATTGCCAATAAAGAACCTGTATTTTTGATAGTGTGTAGTGTAATGCTGCGCATTTTACCGGACTTCTCCCTATATTTTGAGCTATTTCGGGCGTTTATTTTTCCTTCATTTGTTCGTTTTTTTGGAATGTAAATGGCAACGCTGGCAACGCCACTGTGGAGTAGAAAATCTGCGGTTTCTAAGCTCTTCCCAGCTCAAAAGTTGATTTACAGCTCAGGTTGTAAAACGGTTTTTACGAGCCTCGCGCGTCCGTCATTGGGTCTCACAGATGAGACGCGCCACGGGCTCGCGGTGATATTGGCCCCTCTCTTCCCTTCCCACGCGCTTTGTCGAACAGAAAAGCTCCGGACGAGGACGTCTCTCAGCATTTCTCATTGTGTTTCATTTGTGCAGAATATTTTACTTGCTTTTTTGTTGTTGCTCTTATTTAAAACAGCTTTTCGTCTATTTTCCTTAGCCCATTTATTATACAGGGAATATTTTAAATAGGTCGTTTTTACATCAAATGGTAAGTGCAGCTGCAAAATCAAACTTACAGTAAGCTTATATATTTTTGCCTTTTAAAATAATTTGTCATGACTCTTCTGAATAATCAGTCGCTTTATCAATGCGTATATAGCCAAACTGTGAAGCTAACGGGAAAATTCGTATAGCCTTGTCTGGTCTGTCGAGTGAGAGAAATTTTAAATATAAAATATTAAGACATTATGACAAGTTTGAGATGAAGTCAGACAAGTAAAAATTTGTTGTGCATTTGTTTTCTACGAGTAAGCCTGAATTAGGCTATATTGTTCTGTTTTCTTTGTTAACGAATCATTTAAATGTGAAAGCGAGAGGGTCGTCTTAATTTACTACCTTACTGCATTGCGGCGAGAAGAGAGAGAGAGAGAGAGAGAGAAAGAGGGGGGGGGGGGGGGCGGTTGGCTTACTAGCAGATTTCTCAAATTGCAGTTAAAATTATTTGATTACATAAACAATACACCAATTTTATTTCGATTTGAAAATACAAAAATATAAAATGTCTGAAATTGGCATGAAATTAAAAATATTCTAATTCTAAATAGCCTACCTAAAAATAGCACAATTTTCTTTTTAAGTGATATTTTATTTAGCCTAGCCTATATTTTAACGTGGCCGAACAATTGATAAAATTGTCTTTTAACCTTTAAATTGTATTTTAATTAAAAGGCTTTTGCTTGAAATGAAGGGTGTCGCTTTTTCAATTTTCGGGAGCGAATTAGGCAACGCCTTTTCATTTAGTTTTCTGGACTGTGGAAAACGATGTGCTCCCAATTTCCAGATATTCCATTTCTGCGCAAAGCTTTGTTCCGTCGTCTATATATACCCTGTAGAACCGAATGTGTGTTTCCACTGCACATTCACAGATTCGGTTTTAGGGGAGTATATGGACGATGCAAAAACGTCTGCTTTCAAGATAAAACCACTGTAGTTATTGAATAGCCCTCATAAACGACCAAACCACTGTTAAAATGATGTTTCGTTTATTTGAATAAATTGCAATTGCAAAACAAACTGTTCTTTAATTCTTTGTTTTTTCAATGCTGTTAAAATACCACTGTTGTGATTATAAAATAATAATTAATAAATAATTATAACATTACCAAGTGTTTACTGTATTGAATGTTGTTTCTATTCTCTACCCTTTCTTTTGGAGAACAGGGTGAGATGCTCCGACATCTGCTCAAGCCTGGAGAATTCTACAGCACTATAAAATGTATGCATGAGCTGAAAAGTGACTTGAAAATATCTGTAAATGTATTAAATCTATAAAGAGCTCTAATAAAATGCGAGTGTACAAATGTGTCCTTTCATGTTAATGAATACAATAGCCTACAATAATGTAAAAATATTATAATTCAATATACATGTTTATTGTTCATCTATTAATAACATATTATTTATATATTATTTGTTATAAGTATTAGGCCTATCATGGAATATTTACATTTTAAAACAACGAAGAAAGGTTTAATGCGTCTGTTTTATTAGACCTTCATTTTACAAGTTTTCACAGGTCTATTAATATTTAAAGGATATATGCTTATAGTCTTGTTCACATGGAGATCTAAGTAAGGATTATAATCAACATTGGTATAACAGTATTATATGACGAAAGAACAATTGAGATGCAGCTCACACAAAAGTGGAAAGAGCGCGCGCGCGCTACCGGCCCGCGCACATGATTTATGGCTCGCGCCCAGTTCTAATGGCACATTAATGACCGCTTGCAGACACTTGCACCTTCACTATTAAAATACATTAGCACATACATAAATATAAAATATTCAGACTTTCAGAGCCTTATACGAATTTTTTTATTATGGTTACAACGAAATAAAATAAAATAAATATAAAGGTTTTATAGCCCCTGTTGCAAAAAGCACAAAGCATTCATATTCCGCGATCGGAAGTGGAGGATTAACCTAGACTATATGCTAAAGAATCCGAAGGGAAGTAGGAATATTGAGACTAGACTGAGAAGACGAGAAGAATCAAGAATCAGAATCGACCATATAGGCCTACCGCAAATGGAAATCTAAACAAAGTTAAGAATTATGATCCTGGATTATATGCTATGGACACTGCGGAATGTTGAACATGCCCTTGTGCATTGCATATAGCCTAACAATGAACGACAAATACTGGAAAAAAATTGAAGGAAGAAGGTGCAAACCATATGAACCATATTAGAGCATTTAATGAGTCAGCAACAAACAAAATTAGAATAGCTCTGATAAATTATCCAAAAGAATCAGGAAATGATAGCAGCCTATAAGAATATAATGTTTTCAAAATGTATTTTGTTTTTATTTCTTCTGTAAATGTATTTATTTGTGACATGATCAAGGTATGCTACTGCAAAGAGATAAATACAATTGTTCAGAGGATCTTTGGTAAATCTTTTGCTCTATCCTCGAGTAGGCCTATCTCTTGAATTGTAAAGCTGAATTAGGCTACACCTCGACTATGATCTAGTGTGTGTTACATATTTGTAGCCTACCTACTTAGCAAGAAAATGTATACTTCTGCTGTGTGTGGTCCAATCCTCATGTCCCTTCTGGTTGAATCGAATTGCTATTTTCCTATACCTTTAGAAAAACTAACTTGTGACTTACGCCGGAGGTCTAATGATTTCTGGCGTATTCGGTCCCCTCTTTGGAATTTGGAATGTATGTTGAATTTCTTTATTTCTTGACTCTTAGCCTAGGAGCCTACTTGTTTTTTTGTTTTTTGTTGGTGCTATTACCACTCAATCCTTGAACTAAGATGATGGATGATTATTGTTCCACGGTTTTGATATTGTAAAACTACAGTATATAGCTATATATTTGTTTGTCTCGTTATGATTATTATTACGTTTTTTCCTAAACACTGACGCTCCACACTCCAGTTTAGTAGGTGGCGGTAATGCACCACAAGCTGGTTTGCCAACCGCCAATGTGACAAAAAGATGATGAAGAAGAAGGAGGAGGACTGTGATTGGCCAGAAAGCAGGAAAAACTTCTGGGTGACGTCACTACACGGGGACAGGAGCTTGCTTTGCCCTTGCGTGGGAAATTAATACCATCTCGTTGTTGTGCTTCGATTAAAGTAGATTTCTTCTGCGCTGTCATGTCTCTTGCTGCAGAGGCTTTCGTCTCTCAGATTGCAGGTGATGTTTACGCTTGTGTGTAATGTAGCGAGACCATAGGCGTGTTAGTGGTTTGTGCTAAAGATGGGCGGGTTAAGATGATAATCTGTAACGTTACTTCTTTTCATCATAGTCATTTAATTTCTCTCCATATTATTAGAGAGAAAAAAAATTCTGGTCACGAGTGTGTTATATATTTATCAGATGTTTTTACAACAGAGTTCTGTTGTTTGCAATGCTATTGTCAGGGTCAAAGATAAATAAACCCATTAAACGTTTAATATTATTATAATGTGGTCTCACATAGATGGATATTTAAGGGTCAGAGTTTCTGAATAATGGAAAGACACAGTATTGTTTGCGAAATGTATGTTTCCAGTTTTTTTGGTTTTCTATTCCAGCTGCTGAGCCATGGCCTGAAAATGCTACTCTGTACCAACCTCTTAAAGGTAACTTTTTTTTCCTCACATTTACATTTAGCATGAGATCTTTACAACCATAAAATAAATTAAATGAAATTAACATTAATATGGTTTCCTTTTTTTGTGTGCAGAAGATCAAATCCTTCTGTCAGATTCTGCGTCCTCGCTGGCAGTTCAGGTGAAAAGTAGTGCCATAATCACCCTGTTTATTCACACGCTCGCCGATTTACATCTTGAATAACCCAAATAGTTTGTCACTTGTTTTAGGTTTATGAATTTAATCTTGTTTTGCAGACTTTCCTGAGGATGTGCGGCCTGCCAGTGCAGGTGTCCTGCCGTGCCAATGCTGAATACATGTCACCGTCAGGTGAGTAACCAAATTCTCTCAATTTTACAGTCATTTTCATGTTTTTGTTTAGTTTATGGGATTTGTTTATTCTTATCTTATGTTGGAAAGGTAGTGGTAAAGAGCTCTGTTTTCGTCAGAATGAATGTATGAGTTAATGCTTGTTCATATGTCTTATTGTGACTCTTCCTCTCTGTTCATTAGGGAAGGTTCCTTTTATCCACGTTGGAAATCAAGTTGTGTCAGAATTGGGGCCGATTGTTCAATTCACAAAGGCAAAGGTATCTTTCTCACTCTAAAAAACAAACTCCATTTGAATACTATAATATTTGACTGTTGGCTGACATTGAGCTGTCCGTAGGGTCATGCTCTGAGTGACGGGTTGGATGATGTCCAGAGGGCAGAGATGAAGGCTTACATGGAGTTGGTCAATAACATGCTGCTGACTGCAGAGGTACAGACCTGCACACATCAGCACGTCCGTTCAGTTTGTGGTCGATTGGATTAAAAAAAAAAAGAAGTCTCTTATGCTCACCCAAAACGGCAGTTATTTGGCCAGAGTACTATTGTGAAATGTTAATAGAACTGAAATAAAACTGTTTTCTATTTTAATATACACAATTTTCAGCACATTATGTATCTTTGCTCATGAATTTCTTTAATTATACTTTTTTTTAAATGTATATGTATTTTATCTTTTACATGAATATTTTAAAATAAATAAACTGTGCAAACTTTGCCTCTTCTTTCTAGTTGTATATCCAGTGGTGTGATGACTATACTGCTACAGAGGTATGTTTCACATATAAGGACATCCACAAATCATATATAACGCATATCTTAACAAAGATGACATCTATGGCAGCATATATGATCATGGTATGCGTTTAATGGTAATATGTGTTCAGATCTCTAGGCCACGATACAGTAGTCCCTATTCTTGGCCCCTCAATCACGTTCTGGCCTATCAGAAGCAGTGGGAGATACGGAGGAAGATGAATGCAATTGGATGGTCTGGAAAGAATCTGGAGCAGGTCTTTTTTTTGTGTGTGTGTGTGCAGATAAATGAAGTGTAATTCATTGACCCAGTTACATTGTCTTTTTCTTTCATAAATGGAGCCAATGTACACTACATAAGGCTTTGTGTGGGTTTTCTCTTCTCAGGTGTATGAAGATGTGAGTCAGTGCTGTCAGGCCTTGTCACAGCGATTAGGAACACAGCCCTACTTTTTCAACAAACAGTACGTTTTGTGCACATACACTATCGTTTTTTAAAGAGATTAATACTTTTATTCAGCTAGGATGCATGAAATTGGTAAAAAGTAGCAGGGAAAACATTTATAATGTTGCAATACATTTCTATTTCAAGTAACTGCTGTTCTTTTGAACTTTCTATTCATCAAAGAACCCTGAAAAAATGCTTTATGGTTTCAACATTGATAATAATAAGAAATGTTTCATGAGCAGCAAATCAGCATATTACAATGATTTCTGAAGGATCATGTGACTCTAAAGACTAGAGTAATTCAGCTTTGTCATAACAGGAATACATAACCATTTTAAAAAATATATTATTTTAATATTAAAGATATATTATTTTAATTTGTATAAATATTTCCACAGCATTACTGTTTCTGCTGAATTTGAAATGTAGTAAATGAAGCCTTGTGCACATACAGACATGCAGCATAACTCAATTATTACATGGTGTCTTTGCTAATTGTTGTACTTTAAACGTCACAGGCCAACCGAACTAGACGCTCTGGTGTTTGGTCATCTTTTCACCATACTCACCACACAACTGACCAGCGACGAGCTTGCTGAAAAGGTTAAATCCTACACCAACCTGCTTTCTTTTTGCCATCGTATTGAACAGACTTACTTTAAGGAGCACGACCGAGAAGACCAGTTTGGGTCCTCGCGCCATTCCAAAAGCTCACTACCCTGAGGACCACCCTTTGCCCAATATTTCTCACTCCTTTGATCAGTCTGAAATGATTGACATCTTTGATATCCTATGTGGATTAAAAGACTTAAAATATCAGATCAGTAGGAGGGAGAAAAGGGGCATTAAATAAAGGTTTGTGAATATTTAAAGTATTCCCAACACGTTTCCGAACTACTCCTTTGCCTGTTCGTAATGCCATAACGGGAACTTGCCTGCCGCAACAGTAGAACTAGGTTTCGTGTATAAGGAATTAGTTGATGTAAATCTTTTTTCCACTGTGTCATGCCTTTGTCTGATGTGTAAATGGAAAGTGCCTACGAAGTAAATAAACTTCAAGTTGGACGTTTCTTTGTTTCTGTGTAAATGTTTTTGCATGCAAATTCTGAATGTGTTATATGTATGGTATGTACTTTAAAATATTGTAATGTAGAGGCAGATCTCTAATATTGATGAAACACTCACAGTATAATTTTGCTGTTGTTTTTGCTCCAGCGCAATTTTGCGCATTAATGCTGCATAAAATTAAAAGCATTGCCAATAGTCAATATTTAGTGAATACATAAATGGATCTTGTCATTGTATTTAGCTTTTAAACAGTGTTTATTTGATTTAAATATATATTGGAATTACATGACAATCTTATGTAGAGTTTTAGAATACTAAATCCATTTTATGTGCTTAAAGCTTGCATATTAATAAGAACACACACACGTACTCCAAAAGCAGATTTGTGTTTCAGATATACAGTATATGCATCAAATCTTTAGTAAAAGATACATTTTAGACAGCCTTCCAAAAAGCTTACATTTTCCAACTACATACAGCATGAATAAACAGTTTATGCAGACTCTCATCATAGAATCTGTAAAATTCTGGAGTTGTCAATAAATAATCTCTGCCCAAGCTCTACCCATGAGGCTAGTATTACTTGTGATATATATCTTCTCTATATATTGTCTATACATACTGTACCATTCAAATGACTGAGGTCAATAAGATTTTTTTTAAAAAGAAATTAAAAGATTATCCAGCAAGGATGAATTAAAATGCCTGAAAGTAACAGTAAAGACCTTATATTATTACAAAAAAAATAATATTTGAACTAAATACTGTTCTTTTGAACTTTCTATTCATCAAAGAATCATGAAAAAATGTATGTATGTACAACTGTTTTTAACATGGATAATAATAAGAAATGTTTCCTGAGCACCAAATCAGCATATTGGAATGATTTCTGAAGGATCATGTGACACTGAAGACTGGAGTAATGATGCAGAAAATTCAACTTTGCCATCACTAATAAATTACATTTTAAAATATATTAAAATAGAAAACTGTTTCACAATATTACTGTTTGTACTGTATTTTTGATCTAATAAATGCAGCCTTGGTGAGCATGAGAGACACTGTACATCTTCCAGATCTCAAGCTTTTGAACAGAACCGAGTATGCATGATCTGGACCAGCCTCATTATTCAAGCTAAAGATGTACATTTTATAATACCACAGTTGTCAGACTTTATTGCTAATTTGAAATAATTAGCTTAGTTAGTTAAATGTAACATTGACAACATTTTGGAGATTTCAGTGTTTCCCCATTCAAGTAAACAGTCTCTGTACTGCATGACTGAAAACAGCAGGTTTAATGCTCTTATGATTCTCTTTTAACTGGTTAAACTGAAAAACCAAAATCTGATCACAAGTGGTCAAAAGAGATGCATGTAAATGCCTGACATAAACAGGGCCAATGACTCCACAACAACTGGAATCCAAAGCCACTGCTGTGTCAAGTTACAAAGACCAAAAACCAAAGAGCTTTGCTGTAGGTACTTCAGGTGTGTTATACAGCAGTAGCTAAATCCTCGGACAGTGAATTGTTCTTGTTGGCTGTGCTACGTGGCAGCAGGTAAACCGTGCCATCAGTGCTGTGCTGTAGTTTGTACTCTTTAGGATTGTAGGAGTTTCCATGCTCATCTCTCAGCTGTCTGAACACCTCATTGTAGAGATTCTTGAGCTTCTCTTTCGTCTCGCAAAGATCTCTAGTGTTTCTCTCTTTTTCTTCCTTGCTTTTATCCTTCTCCCTCTTCAGAACCTCAATCTCGTCTTCGAGATCAACGAGACTATTCAGCTTTCGTTTGCGACAGCTCTGGGCTGCCTTTTTATTTTTGCCACGTCTTCGAATGTCTCTTATGAGTGCATGTTGAGCGTTGTTAAGTTTGCAGGAGCTGATGGCTTCGTTAAATGCTTCCACGGGGAGGTTGATGATGTCATGCACACTAATCGGCAAACTCAACGCTCGGGCTCGCTGTTCATCACGACATGCACGCCGGACACCTGCAGCTCTGTTTGTGGTTGTGAGATTTGACTGAGGTTCTCTTTGTGAATATTCAGGTGTTGATTCATTTTGAGTTTGGTGTTGTGCACACATAGCAGTTTCATACATTGCTGCCTCTACAGTCTCAGAGTGGAGAGATAAAGGCAGCAGATCGCTGTAATCTGACTGGATGCTCTCCAGCTCATCCTTTTCTGATTGGCCGTTGCTTAAGGTGTCAGCCGCATAGAGGGATGTCTCTAAATCCACAGAGCTAACAGAAGCAGAGTCATCAAAACCCAGAAGAATGTGACGCTCCTCAAATTGTGAAAGCATTTGTGGAGCGTTCCTTCCAGGCGCACCATTTAATTGTTCGGGTTCACTGACTGTGCTAGTATTGATGGTATATGTATTTATATCAGGGCAAAACTCACTGAGGGTTGAATCGCTTGAGTTTGTTTGGCATTTAGTTAAAATTCCTTGATTCTTAGGGGTACTACAGCTGTAAATTGTGTTTGAAGGTGAAGGTGTAAGATTGGCAGGATCTGAGAACGTCTGTATGCATGTTTTTAGGACTTCTAATGGGTCAGAGGGCATGCATGACAAAGGCTGAGCAACCTCATAAGAGTCTGATATTATCTGTGTGACTTCACTGATGCCACATAATGCATCTGTTGAGTTTTCCCTCTGTGGTTCTGGCAGGTGATGGTGGCAGATTTCGGTGATATCCTCCAAGGGCAAACTTGAGCCCTCAGACTCCAAGACATCCAGATAATACTAACAGAGAAACAAAACAGTATATCAAATACAATAGGCATATTTAAATAATTTTATGTTATGAACAATTTATATTTTAAATGTATTATTCTGACAATTTTTGATGAGGCATGATATAGGCAACACATCAAACATTTAAACTTTTTGGAGTTAATCACTAGACATTTTTTTACTTGTATTAAAAAATATTACATTTATTTGATTTTGTGCATTAAATAATTGTGCATTATTTATCTGGCCAGTAAGATTTTAGCGCAAATGTACATACGTAGACTGTTCCGGTCATCTGACCACCAGTATCAATTTGTAGCAGTAAATGAAGATGTGTCATATCGATCACAAGTTCAGTATGGAGTACCTCAAGGCTCAGTACTAGGACCGTTGCTTTTCACCCTGTACATGCTACCCTTGGGAGATATCATTAGGAAGCATGCCATTAGTTTTCACTGTTACGCTGATAATACTCAGCTCTATATTTCTTCACGCACTGACGAAACATACCAATTCACAAAATTAACGGAATGCAAAAATTTCCTACTACTGAAAAACAGAGGTTTTAATTATTGAACCAAAAACCTCAGCACACAATAACATACGTGCTGAGGTTTATAATACTGTCTAACACTTGATGGCTGCTCTGTCAAGTCTTCGTCATCCGTTAAGAACCTGGGTGTGCCAATCTCTCATTTGAAAGCCACATTTTAGCATCTGTAAAACAGCATTTTTCCATCTTAAAAATATATCTAAATTTCGACATATGCTCTCAATGACAAATGCAGAAAAGTTAGTTCAGGTGTTAAAGGTGCCCTAGAATTTGAAATTGAATTTATCTTGGCATAGTTAAATAACAAGAGTTCAGTACATGGACATGACATACATCTCAAACACCATTGTTTTCTCCTTATTTAAATCTCGTTTTTGAAAAATACCCCTGAAAAAGAGGCGAATCTCCACATAACACCGACTGTGACGCAACAGTCGGGATCATTAGTATGTACGGCTCCAAAAATTTGCATATGCCAGCCCATGTTCAATGCCAGGCGGAGCTGCGCAGCCGAATCATCGGAAGTTCTGCAGGTGAAGAAACAAGCGAGGATCATAGGGAAAATGGCTGATCATGGAAACAAATGTTATGTTCCAGGCTGTGCAGGGGATGTGAGGACTTTTCATACCCTTCCCACAGAAAAGAAATGTCAACAGGCGTGGTTGATGTTGTTTATCTATAATCGGATAACGTTACCGCAACAGTTTAATTCGAAGTTGTTAGTTTGCTCTGCCCATTTCACCACTGACTTATTTTCTAACCTGGGACAATATCAAGCAGGCTTCTCTCAGCGTCTCATACTGAAGAACGGGGCAATTCCAACTATATTCCCGCAAGCGGCAAGTAGTGATTTTATTAACTATAATTTACACTGTGTTATCTAGATCCAGCGCAAGATCCTAGTACAGTAACAAATAGCAAACTCCAAGTAACGAGCATATATAACTAAATAGTATGACAAAGTATTTACGCTGAGGTTAATATTTCTTGCCTGTGTTGTCATATAAATCTACAAAATAATACTGTAGATACATATGTAAATTCCCTTTTATCAAATAATTTTACTTTCGTATATTTCATCAACAACACGTCAGGGGCTAACTACGTTAGTTTAGTTGCTCACAGATAATGTTAGCTCACTCGATCCTTCTAGCTAACGTCACATTCTCCACCACATGAGTTGAAGCTATATTTATTTGACAAGGCATCTAACGTTAGTCCATTTCTTAGCAGAACTCCTCATTACTATTCATGACCCTTCCAAATAAGGTAAAAACAGACCATTTTATTCTAGGGCCAATTTCTAGAGTTGAAAATGGATTTGTAAAACCATATCTGGACATTTTAAATGCCCTTAAATAAGCCAAATACCCTCTATGTAGATATCAGAGACTAAATTAAAATATTATTTCAACACATTCTAGGGCACCTCAAGGCTAGATTATTGTAATGCCCTACTGGGTGGTTACCCTGCATGCTTAATAAACGAACTCCAGCTAGTTCAAAACGTAGCAGCTAGAGTTCTTACTAGAACCAGGAAGTAAGACCATAAAAGCCCGGTTCTATCAACACTACAATGGCTCCCTATTAAACATTGGATACATTTTTAAATCTTGCTAATTACTTACAAAGCACTAAAAAGTTTAGCTCCTCAGTACTTGAGCGAGCTCTTAACGCGTTATAGTCCTTCATGTCTATTGCAATTTCAGAATTCTGACCAGTTGATAAAACCTAGAATTTTAAAATCAACTGTATCCAGTAGATCCTTTACCTACTCAGCACCCAAACTTTGGAACAGTCTTCCTAGTATTGTTCAAGAAGCAGACACACTCTGTCAGTTTATATCTAGACTAAAAACACATCTCTTTAACCTGGTATACACATCACATTTATATTCACATCCGTTATATGGTTATAAGGCTGCATAAATTAGGTCAACCGGAACCAGGAACACTTCCTGTAACACCTGATGTACTTGTTACATCGTAAAAAGAAAGACAACTATGCTTATATTAGTCTCTCTGTTTATCCTGAGGTTACCGTAGTCAGCCGGATCCGGGTAGTATCCAGATCAGATGGTGGACCTGCACCTAGACACGACCTCATCACAGCCCTGAATGTCAGCAGAGATCCTGTCAACTAGACAATCTCGTCTAGACACGACAGCCATCGGCACAGTTTCTTCAGCAAAGACCACAAGAACCAGGGAAGTTCTCTGCACAGACCCCTATGGCCAGCTTCGTCTCCATACTGACGTGATGAATCCGATCTTCAAGCAAAATGAACTGGATGAAAAATATTTGATTTTGAACGCTACCGATCCACAATCTGACTTCTGACTTGTTTGTTACTTGGACAAAGGAGAACTGCCCCTCGACTGAGCCTGGTTTCTCTTAAGGTTTTTTCTCCATTTCGGTCGCCTGATGGAGTTTAGGTTCCTTGCCAGAGAACTGAACTAAGCAGTGACTATGACACGCATCATTTTCTGCAGTGCTGCTTTATAGTGGAAATTGTATAATTGATGATCTTTACAACTGAACTGAATCAACACTGAACTGACTTCAGCTGAACAATGACACTGTTTTGTTTTAGAGCTGCTGTACAGCCTAAATGAACTGTTTGCATCACTGAATCATTTTCCTGTTATCACTGTAAAGCTGCTTTAAAACAATCTGTATTGTATAAAGCGCTATATAAATAAAGGTGACTTGACTTGTACATGATAAACTAAATTATATACACTACTTTTCAAATGTCTGGGGTCAGAAAGATTTTTTTTTTTAAAATAAATTAATATATTTATTTAGCCAGGAGGCATTAAATCGATCAAAAGACATTTACACAATATTTATCTTCTAAAGAAAAAGTATCAGAACTTTCTATTCATTAAAAGGCTACTATTATTATGTATAATAAGTACATTACAGTTCAAATGTTTGGGGTCAGTACATTTTCTTTATTTTTGCAGAAATTAAAACTTTTATTGTAAGCAAGGAGCCATTAAAGAGAAACTTTTAAATGGTTACAATAACATTCTATCTAAATAAATGCTAAATTCTTTTGAACTTTCTTTCCCTTAAAGAATCCTGAAAAAAATTTTTTATCATGGTTTCCACAAAAATTAACAGCTGTTTTCAACATTGATAATAATAGGAAATGTTTATGTTAAGTCAGTATATTAGAATTGTTAAAGAATTTTTGAAGAAATAAAATTACATTTTTAAATATAGTACATTATAAAACAGATCATTTTTCACAAATATTACTGTTTTACTATAGTTTGGAATCTTCATATATATTAGAACGCCTTTTTCAGTGATGATAGGGACATTACCTGCATGCTATATACTCCATAAAAATATTTAAACATTAACTCACTGTATCTCAGATAAGCACACACCTCAAATTAATGACTATTGCTTTTTAATTTTGCTGATTAGATAAATGGTACTATTTGCTTATTAATGTTTACCTAAATAATAAATATATTGAACAGTGAATAAGTTAAGATTAGTATGAAACAAGATACTTTCATAAAATGATGTTATTGCATCGTTTAAAGTTACGAAAATAATTACCCCTCACTTTAAACCTAAGGTTTTTTTGTACTTTTCTCTTAATTTATAATTTATTGTACATTAAATTATATTTGTAATTAAACTATGATTTATTTATAAAGCACATTTTAAATATACAGAGGTTGAGCCAAAGTAACTATTTAGAAAAAATAATATAATAACAATTTTATATATATATATATATATATATATATATATATACATATATAAGCATCTGTCAAACATGTAAGCTTTTAATCACTTAATATAAACAATTATTGAATGCTTACTCTTTTTTTCTAAGGCAGAGGGAGAACTCTACTAAGCATGTGATTTTATAATTACCACAGAAGCTATTACAATTACTACTAGGTTACTTAAATCTAATATTACTTTGTCTGTAAATCAAAAACGTATAACTAAACTCAAAAGACAATCATGCACCAGTTCAGGCGTGTCTGTGTGTGTCTTTCTGCATTGTGTGCATAAGCACCTGTAAGTCTGGCAGTGACAGAAGTTCACTAAAAGCCTGCTCCTGAGAAGGAAGCTTCTGAGACTTAGAGAATAGCAGGGCAGATAGCAGGGGATTCTGGGTAACAGGAGAATGCTGAGTAGACACCGTAGCCGGCAACGTCTCTGAGAAGGGCACAGCCTAAAACATAGGTAAAATAACTCTGTAAGCAACACTACACAATAGAGAGTGAGGGGGTGTGTGCAGGCGCTATTTTCAGAGACTTTAAGGTTTTCTATATGCACAGTGTTTATGCGTAGTTAATGAAATGGTTACCTGGGAGTTCACCGATGAAGGACTAGGCAAAAGCTCTCCAGTCTCTTTGTCAAGTTTCTGTAACCTTTGCATGATCCTTTCAAGCTCTCTCTCTCTTTTCAACTCTCTCTCTCTTGCTCTCATGGTCTCCTCCTTCCCCCGAAGGCATCCATCAAAGATCTCTCGTTCCACCCCCAAATCGACATCCTGCCTCCATAAAATATCAATCAAATCCTAAACACAGAGACATAATGTAAAACAGACAATTTACCATGTTTGTATGTGGCCGTGCACACTCATATTGCAATAAGAGCATGTTTGCATAAACTTTCTGTGAACTCTCTGACAATATCAGTCATGTTTTTGTACGTGATTTGCATTCACATTAATTTGCCTTGCAGGTGCACCTTCTTACCAAATACACCTGTAAACTGGTGCAACAGGTTGGTGTAGCATAACAATAAACACTATCATGGTGGATCTTTTTCTTTTTATACAGTAAACACGCTTTGATTTTACATATCAGACAGTGGTTCTCAACCAGGGAGCATTAGCCAAATTTCAAGATGACTTCAATTTTATTTTTAAACCAAGACAAAACAAGGATTAAAATAAGCTAAAACAACAAACAATTAAAGGGGTCATATAATGGTACATGCACTTTTACAAGTTGATTGTACTGAAATGTGTGTTGGCAGTGCCTGTACACAACCATCATAAAATGATAAAAATCCATCCAGTGTTTTTGTTTTAATCTCCTTATATGGTTTCCCCTGTCTCAAATCGAGCCGTTCGACCGTGTGACGTCACACGCTCGGAAGCCCCTCCCACGATTGTTGATTGACAGCATCGTTTCAACAGACCCGCCCTCGCTCGTGAGCGAGCTGTCAATCACAGTCTGCGCGGACCGGCGCGGTCATTGTTGATATGCTGGAGCACTGTCTATGAGCAGAATGGCGTCTAAGCGATTGTGGTGTTCTGTTCTTGGGTGTAATAATGAACACAGCAGTCATTTCAATGTTCCTAAATCTGAACCGCTGAAGACGCAGTGGCTGTGTTTGTTTTCGAAGGAAATATTCCCCACGAGCAACGTCAATGCTTTCATGTTTGCGCAAATCATTTCTCACCAGACTGCTTTATAAACGAGGGTCAGTATGAGCTGGTTTTGCTAAGAAGCTGCTCATGAAAAAAGGATCGGTACCAGCTATTCGTGTTCCTGCTGAACCTCTAGAACAACTGAAGTGAGTGTAACGTTTTATTAAACTTTATATTAATATTTATATTAATCTTTGCAAATCGCTAGCTGCACGCTTCACAATGAATGCGTCTAAGGTTTACACTTAGGGTACATTACGGCATGTTTTCTTTGTATGATGTTCTCAATATAATTCATAATCCCACGTTTATACTGAACAACGCGTTATGGTTATTGTGTTACAAACGGTGTACGCACAGAACAGAGGGGTGGGGTGAGCAAAGCTCATTATCATTTAAAGTCATATGCACTGAAACGGCGTGCTGAAAACAGAGCTGTTTTTGACCAGGTAAAATAAGCGTTTTCTTACAAAACTAATGAGAATTTGTAATTAAAGTATATTACAAACTTTTAATTTAGACCCAAAAGAATCATACTAGCTTGTACAAAAATGGCATTATATGACCCCTTTAAGATATGTCTCATTTTAATACACCCCCTCATTAGTTTTTCTTTGAACAATCAAGGATCCCACTGTTTTGGAAAACCTGCATTACATGAGGTAGGCTGAAAAAGTCATGTTAATATATAGAATCTTATAACTCCATGGGCATTCACAAACAACTGGAGAATTTATGGGGTCGTACGATATTGTTGTGGACAAAAAAAAAAGATATAAGATCCCTTGTAATCACTTATTTGATATCATAAAATTGTAATCTGAGAATTTATGAGCCCTGATTGTATATGGTCAGAGGTTGTGCTGCCACTGAGGGAGCTTATCCACATGATATATGACACAAGACCAATTTTCTACTTTGTTTTCTACTCAAAATAAATGTCAATGACATCTGTGGTGCGCACTACAGATGTAGAACTGAAAATAGAAACAGTTCAGATCAGATCAGGGAAGTTCATGTCAGTTCATGTCAGTTCAGATCAGTTCAGATAAGGGCAGATAGGGGCAGGTAAGTTCATTTTGGATCAGATCAATTCAGGCAAAAGGGGTAAATGTTTGGCTGGTTGGCATAGTCCAGTTGAATGGCTGAAAACAAACAAACCTGAATGCAGGTTAAAAAAAAACGGAGTACCCATGAGCAAAGATAACAGAATTCAAATGGCATACTTTTGGGGAGTAGAACAAGCAGAACATCTGTGTTTGAGATGGGAATGCTAACGGATGTTTCTTCAGGCACAACACACCTTTCAGATCAGTTTAAGATTAGTTAATTTCATGTTAATTTAGTTCTGACTGAATTTCTATCGTTTTTTTTCTTCAGTGAGCAAACAAAATTGTACAGAGGCAAAGAAAATAATAGTCGTTTAACATACCATCTCTCTCAGAGAATCACACAGTAGGGAACAACAGGAGTCGGATTGTCATTAACAATAGTTTAAAGCTTAATTTGTAATATATTTTTCAATTCACTATCAGTATAGATATTACCAATGGTGTTTACAAGGAGGAAGATGTGCACATTGAACACAACAGTGGCAATGATTAAAATGTTTTCAAGTATATTTTAGCACTATCAGACCCCGTAACTAGTGTATGTCCATTCCAGCTTTGCTGTTTCTGTGTATGTGTGTTAACCTGAAGTCCATGACACCGCGGTCCTCTGAGTGAGCGCACTTTATATGCTGGTACACAAACAAAACTTGCTCATAGCATTTGTAATGGAGTCGGTCATAAAGGCCTTGAACTTGTTGCCCTCTCGCTGGAGTCACGCAATTAAATAAATGCTCCAGATTATGTAGGAGATTGTGAATTTAGTTCACTAAGCAACTGCGGAAAAAACAATTCATCATATAATGAGAGAAATCCAGAACAAGAATAACAGGGAGAAAGAAGGTATAAAGGTGAGCTGAGTGAAAGGTGAATACTCACGCCTACAGCTGGGTGGTGAATGTGATGATGCAACTGTGTTAAAGTGTAGACAGGCTGATAGAGCCTTGTGTGCATAAAGGACAACAGATTTGTGAATTAACTCTTCTCTCTGGGGTAAATGGCTATCCACCCTGAAACAGTAGTGCGGTAATAGGTGTGTCTGGATCAGGTGCACAAAGTGAAATGTTTATTTAACCAACCCACTCACTTGAATTCATGACAGCCAAGACAATTTTTTAGTTTTTTTCTGGGTGGCCTCCCCCTGCATCAGAGACCTCTGCCACAAAGCTTTTGACATTGTCCGCCACTCCCCATTTATAGCTGAATATTCATAAAAAAACGATCAATTTGCAAAATTTTAAAATATGCTTTAATTGCATTTTTTTTCAAACGCTACTGCGCATATAATTACTTTATTATACTGTCAGATGAATATAAGGTCCCTATAACAAATTATGCTAGACCATCAAAATACTTTACAATTCTGAGCCATTTTTGTGATATCTATGGTGATTTACCACCGGTAAACAGGTGTTATTCAACAAATTAACTGGTTACAAAAAATGGACAAATATTTTTGTTTATGACATACACTACTGTTCAAACGTTGGGGTCAGTATGATTTTTTATGCTTTTGAAAGAGGTCTCTTAATGCTCACCAACCACCATTTATCTGATCAATAATAATGTAAAACAGTCATTTTGTGAAATTGTATTATAATTTAATTTAATTTTTTCTTCCTATTTTAATATATTTAAAAAGGAAATGTTCATGTGATGGCATCACATGATCCTTTAGAAATCATTGTAATATGACACACACACACACACACACACACACACTTTCCCAAAATCTGTATTTTGGCTTTGAATATAGGAATTATTGCTTTCTTAACTGGTTGGATCATGAAATTACAGTTGCTCTTATTATTTTACTAAAAATAGGTTGAGATACTGAGATGCTGACAGTAAATGTATAGGCCTGCTAACTTTCTTTTATTTCTTTTAAACACTGCTACAACTTTAGTAAGGTTAAAATTCCAATGAGTTTGTCTAATAATATTTAATTTCAGCTTGTAAGCCACTTTTCTTTCAAGCTCATCTCAACAAGTAATAGGTTATGGGGAAACCACTTCAAAACAAATGAGTCCTTGATTTTTTTCCATAAGTTGCACCAAAGTTCATTGATGTTTCATGAACCCAGTCCAAGGTGAATGTTTAACAAAATATATTTGGTTTCTCGTGAAAATATTGTTTTTTAAACTTACCGAATCATGTAGAAACTGAGCTGAAGGGTCGTCCATGTCTTTAAGCTGCTGTGGATAAACTTGTCTGATGGAGGACTAATATATGCAGCAAAGCACATTGCTGAATCAAATCTGACGACACGCGCGTGTAACAGATCCCAAATACAGAGTGGACTCCGCCCACACTATCCATCAGCCAATCAAAAAGCAGATAACAAATACAGTGACAAAACATCAGCCAATCAAACGGCAAAACACAAATATTAACATTGGCCCGCCTCCTACAAAGCATCGACCAAAAACGAGACATGCCTACATCACTTTATAACATGCCTTTACAAACCTTTTTCCTTATCAATGAAAAAGTTAATAAAATGTATTTTGATTCTTCACATATACACAAACAGAAAAGCACAAGTTGACCTACTAATTAAAACGTAAAATGACATAAAAATCGCTCTGATTTTCTTTCCAGAACGTTGCTTACAACTATAGGCTACCAAAAATATAATTTAATATAAGTTAAATGGCCAAGTAAAACGAGGATGAACCTCTTGTGAGGATGAACCGCGTAACGAATTGCTCCCAATATTAAACGTGCACAATGTAGGCTACAATGCATTGGATTATGAAGCACAACGAAATAGGATAGATTTAAACAGCTTTTTAAATGAATCAATTGTAGGCTACGTCTTTCAAGAATTTCATCCCCCTCAGCTTTCAACACGCCACGAAATGTGACAGGTAGCTGCGATTAGCGCCATGCCCACTCTACCTATGCCAAGGGTACGAGCTCAGAGAAAACTCTCCGACGAGCGCGTTCATGAGTACCCTACACGTTCACGTTTGGCAGCTCCACGTCGACATTCCTTTAGCGACGACAGAGAGGGGGTCCAGCGATACATTCAGCCTGTTACCCTGTTTCGAGACACAGCTAGGAGAGACACCGGTCAACCGCGAGGTAAGCAGACACTTTACTGTCCAGTATTAAACTTTCATCAGTGGCTTTGGCATCAAGTTTATGTTTTTGGACGGGATGCAATAAACTCAGGAAAGCGTGCGTACTAAATTACCTTTTTAGTCAGTTCTTAAAGTGACGCCAGGCTTAAACTATTTTACAAATTCATTTGAGAAGTTTTGGATACAAACCCTGAGAAGAGAACCTCTGCAAAATCACAGATGACTTGTTTCAAATAATATTTTCTTCACAAATTCATATAGGCCAGTAGGTTCATTGTAGATCCTTAAATATGCTTCTGAAAACTGAATTGGTGAATTGCCATGTTATAGCCTAGGCCTATATTAGGTGGGAAAATTCACATATTTCCATAAATTGCGTAGCCTATAAACAATTAATTGAAAACTTTTTTTTTCTTGTAGACCTTTGCGATTGTATGAAATAAGACCTCCATTACAGACTGTGTTAAATATTTAAGGATTTACTTAAATATTGTTGCAACAGTTTGAAGTTGTAAATGCAGGAAGACACGTCAGCTTATTCTAGTGAGTGGACATAAATTCTAACATGTGTTTTACTTCCCAGGATCCTCAGAAGCTGATTGGTCCTGAGAGGGCTACCTTCTTAACCAAGGCAACTGCAACTGCAAGCAGACTGACTGAAGCCCAGATGATAGCAGTACATGTTTGATACATTTTAAAGACAATTCTAGAATTCAAAAACAGGCTTCCTCTGCCAAAGTCGCATACGCACACGCACACATGCACATATGGACACACTTATACAGAGAAACACACACACACACACACACACTCAACCATGGCTCCTCGGGGAAAGTTCTGTGGTCCACTCTGGCTGTGTGAGTGTGTGGTCAGTGCATTACAGAACTTTGCTTTAGAAGCTCCACCCTTCAAATCCATATTGATCCCCGAGAAAATAAAGGCTTGGTTTTATGAGTTTCATGACTGGTTTGAAGTATATACTTAACTGTAACATGGAATATGCCTTTTGTTCATCTAATTTTGTTAGATGTTGACTTCAAATGAACTTTTCAGATCCGTTAACCGCATCCCTCTAAATATATAATGATTATGTATATTTAGAAATTATTAACAGCATAGGAAAAAGATATGAAAATGAGATTGAGTCAACACAGTTATTAAAATGAACAATGGAAATGTATGATGATGTGATAACTCAAATGACCTCAATTGTTGGTTAACGGCTTGCAGATTTACGAAAGCTTCTAATGTTTTGAACAGTGTTTTGTTTTTCTTCTTTACCCTGTCAATGATATTTCACAAGTGTGAAAGTATACAATTTTGTATTCTTGGCTTGTAAATTCTATTGGAACTTATAATGGTTTATATTGCTCAGTGCTGCTGGAACCAAAATGGTTTATGGAAAGTTATAATCCAATGAGTGTAATATGAAGTAGCCAGTCAGTCTCTCATTTGTTGAATACATAACACATAATGTATTTAAGAGTGGCTAAACTCTAAAGAGACTACTCTGCTGACTATTACAAATGTTATCCATGAAAAAGGCCTTAAGTGAAATAAAATGTTGCACTTGAGTATGTCATATTTGGATGCAAGCTTCACCAACAACCATTAAAGGGACCCAAAAATGAACCCTCATGTTGTTCCAACCGTGTATGAATTTCTTTCTTCTGCTCAACACAAAACAAGATATTTTGAAGAATGTCGATAACCAAACAGTTGACGGTAGCTATTGACTTCCATAGTATTTTTTTTTTCTTACATACTACAGAAGTCAGTTGGGTCCATCAACTGTTTGGTTACCCATTTCCCTCAAAATATCTTCTTTTGTGTTCAGCAGAAGAAAGAAATTCATACAGGTTTGGAACATTTTGAGGATGACTAAACGATGAAAGAACTCTATTTTTGAGTGAACTATCCCTTTAACATCATTTTGTAATTTCAAATGTTGTAGGTTAAAATGTATATTAATATTTTTTTCCACTATTTTAATTCATATTTTTTTCCTTAGTTACTTTTAAATGTTTAATGTAATCTTTCAATTAAAAGATTTAATAATAATAATAAAACATGTTTATTAGCCAAAGTGGATCTAAAAGGCAAATTTGTAACTGCACCTTCATGTGGCATTTTTTCACCACCTCTATTTTGTGGTGGTTTCAGTATATTTTAAAGTGGAAAATGGTTTAGGTTAGGTATAGGTGACGTACATTAGTACATTAATTATAGGTTAACTGTTAAAACGTTTACAGTTTTAACACTTTATATATAGAAAGCTTTAGAAAGACAGAACTTTAGAAAGAAAAGAAAGAATTAATTGTCTGCTGACCTCTAGTGGAGTTCTGTGGCAGCACATGCTCTGATCCCTCCTCCTCCAGCTCGTGTCTGGCTTATTCATATTTCGTATCTCGGTTTCTGTAGACACACTCACCTCGAGGTTGAGGATGTTGATGCAGAAGTCACAGAAAGATCGATTAAATGTCTACACACACTTACATCTTTACAAGATTACCTGGCAACCGTGTTCACAGTCCGGTCATTTGTCGGTCAAACATATATCAAATAAGAAGTGAAAGGATGTTGTTTTTTTGTTGACACTGTAATTTAACACTACATCTTCGACACAGTACGCGTGACAGAGGTTCCTCTCCATGACACGGTGGTAGACCTACTTGCTCTATTTATATCAAAGCCATAAATCAACAAGATATTCAAGATAGTCTTATAGCTTTAAATAAACAGGACTCAACTCTGTAAAACAAAAAAGCAACACCGAAATAACTGCTACCGGCCAAATAGCCTATATTTCACTGACATAGGCTACATTCTATTCACTTGACTTCCATTGTATTTTCCATTTTTACTAAAACACTCAGTAGGGTATTTTCCCAAATATCTTCTTTTGTGTTCAGCAGAAGAAATAAATTCATACAGGTT